GGGTGGTTTGGAGGCTTGGAATTTTTTAGTGGGTTTCAAGATTGCTACTTACAGCCATGAAATGTCTTCCCTTCACTGAGCATTAATAAAAAATAAGTAGAACATTATGTTCCCCAGTTTACCTGGCTTTACATTTTCAAAGAAAAAAAAAATTTTTTTTTTTTTTTTGGTATGTCAGTTGTTTGGTGACTTTTTTTTCTTTTTTTTTGTAAAGCAGCAGGTTCCTTTGTCTGCTTGCAACCTTACTCAGAGTCCTAATATGGAAGAGATAACCGTGGGCCTTGCTGTGGTTGGAGACAGCCCAAGCACTGCAGTCTCCACTCTTTCACCTCCCATTCATACCACCTCCCTTTCAGCCCCTGCCCCGCGAGACCACGAGTGAACCTACATTTCCAAATCCTGTTCATTCATCCTAACTGCTCCCTTCCACTGACCAGGCTGGGAGAATACAACCTGGCCATGTCCTCTGTTACTTGTCTATTAATCAGAATAGTTCACAGGCTTTTTATCTTCTCCTTAACATTGGTAACTCCAAATGTCTCTCCTCTCTTCTTGCCCTCCTCCTTCTGTTCTCACCCACTTCCAAGACCTCCAGCTTTTATCTAAACTAAGTCTCCAGTTGACATCTCCAGCCTAGTATCTGTCCTGAATGTCAGACTCCATACGTCCACTGGCTGCTACCATAGAATAAGGTATTCATTCAAGTTCAGCGAAGCAAAGGAGACCCGAAGGGATGAAATGACTGACCTAAGCTCAGTTGAGCATCTGGCCAGTTTTGAGGCTTTAGACAACTACATTAGCTTAGAGAAATAGCCAGTTTCTGAGGTGGGGGGAGGGGTGGAAGGAAGTGAGCCTGGAGTTGTAAGGGGCACTGTGCCTTTTTTGACTACCTTCTATCTACATCTGTCTTTCTTTTCTACTTTTTTTCATCTCCATCTGAGTCCTAACAACCATGACAGACATATTACTCTGAACAAGTGAAAAAGCATCATTGTTCCCAATCTCCATTCAACACTTCTAGCTAGGATTCTGGTGTAGCTAGCTATGTCCACCTTGGCCTTGGCTGGAAAAAATATGGGTGCTTAAGACTGCAGTATGCCAGTGTAACTTAAAGAGAAGTTGAATCACTGTTGTACACCTGCAACTAATGTAACATCATGTGTCTGCTATACTCAATGAAAAAAAAAAAAAAAGGCTGCAGCATGCCAGATTTAGCTTATAAATAGATTTTTATAAAAGTGATGGTAAGTGGTGGAGGGAGAATAAACACTTCAACAGGCTTCTGAGAGTGCTGTCCTTCCTTTTGTAGTGAAGACCCAATCTCCTCTGTGGTCAGTTAAGAGTAACAATCCACAACACTTGATATTCACAACTGTTTTGATGGTAATTATAGGGCAGATACCCCCCAGAGAAAATCTGTTTCCCACCCTAGTGGGAGCTTTAGTTCCTGCCCTTGTTAAGAGAAAGGGTGGTCTGTGAGTAGTGACCAAGGACTAAGGCAAATGTAAGAACCTCAGCAGGGAACTCTGGGATCTTGGTTGGTTCATTCCTTGACTCTGACTCACCCTGTCAGCTCCACATGGAGTAGCACAGAAACCTTCAAGGCCCAGGCCTTGGCCTGGGGACTACCTGCTTTCTAAGTTGTGGGCCAAGTGGGATGGGACCTAAGACAATACAGGGAAGGGGCAGCAGCTTGAAAGAAGAGACTTTGAAAACAAGCTTAAAACTAGGGATTGGGAGTCAGAGCTGACCCAACCAGAGAAGGGCCAGATGGTTCCTCTACAGGAACTCACACTGTCCATCAAAGAACTAGCCCCTTAAAGAGCTGGAAGGCCTGTGGTAGTATCATCTAATGTAGCCGCTTCTTTTACAAAAAGGAAGCTAGGAGTTGGCTTGGGTTAAGTGGTGAGACCTCAAAACTACTTAAGAGCTCAGTCACTCTAGGAAGGCTTTCTTCCTGGCCCACTTCCCCCCAGGTCTCTGATCTGTGAGTTTCTGTGTGCATGTCTGCTTTTAATAGTCTCATCTCCCTCAAGCTACAATGCTAAATAGTCCAGTCTCCCAAGAACTGGTCCCAATCTGTCATTTACCTGCATGTGGGTGTCAGGGCACACTACTGCAGGAGTCCCATCCTAGCTGACAGGGACAGGCACGATGAAGGGACCAATGCTAAAGACAGTAAGTGGAAAAAATAGCACTCAAATGGGAAGAAGCCTGAGTTGTCCCACAGTGCTCTTCCCGGCCCCCCTGCCCAAACACTTTTTCTTTATCTTATGTTCTCAGCTGTATAGTCCAGCATTTGATAGTGGATTCTCTTGCTTTGTTCACCAACCTCCTGTGTGAGAGCCTTGACTTCCTGAACAGATCTAGGCTCTTTGTCTTCCCCTTTCTTTCCCTCTTCAAACACCTAGCTCAGGTAGGCTCACATTTTGAGAAGTCACTCTTCACAATGGTAAAAGCTACAAGTAAACTATGGCAGTAGGGGAAAGCTATTGATCCCTTGCTCTCAGATTTAGGAAACATCAGTTTGCTAACCTTCCTTAGAGTCAGGAACACAGACTAAGACAGTGTTTCTGGCCTGGCTCATCCTGTCACTCAACCACCTACCAGGCAGGACCCAGGAATCTGCGCTTTTATGGAGCTCTTACAAGTTATAACCTCACCAATCCTCAGATGTGCAACTCATGTATAACTTCAGAATTTGCAGAACACTTTGGTTACAGCCTCTTCAAACAAAAGACAGTTCAAGGCCAACTCCTCCAGATCTCTTATCATTAATCTCGTTTCCTCCACATTTTCCCAAACCCCTCTATTTCTCAGATTTCCCTGTTCACCTCTTATGCTTGCTTGCTCCCAACAGAACACACTCATCCCGGGAAAGGGTTGGCTTAATCTTTTGTTCTACACCTCACCTCTTGATTAAAGTAAAAAGCTCGAAAAATCTGTTGGGAGATCAGGAGATGGATCCTTAGAGGGAATCTAGTATAAGAGTTAACAACAGGTGGTTTCAAATCAGATGATCGGGGTTCTTGATTGGTTAATTAAATTTTCCTGTGCCTCAGTTTTGTTTGTTTATCAATACCTACCTCAAAAAATTGTTCTGAGGGTGGTGAATAGTAACTAGAAAGCACTTTGAACAGTGTGTGGAACAGAATTAAGGACCCAGTAGACGTTAGCTATCACTTTTATTTAAAAACACCCCAATATTTGCACACTCTCCAGGCCAGAACTGCCCCAACTGGGCAGGCGGTCACTGGTCAACAGGGAGTAGCTACATGGCATGGGGCATGGTACTACATGGACAAAGCTTCTGGTTCCATTCTGAGAGAGAGATGCAAATGAATGACTCAAGATCTTCCCACAAAGACCAGTGTACCCCTATGTATGGTGTTTCCTGCAAGAATGATCCCTTTGGTACTCTGCAGACCTCAGGATCCTACACCAGGAGGTCCTACCTGGGAGTATCAGTCACCAACTCTGTCACCCTATATGCAGCATGGGCTCAGGATCAACTACCTGGAATTTAGGAACAGCTCATACTCTGAAAGGAGAGCTAAAAAAAATTCCCTCTGGTTTCCAAGGACAAAACACTATCTTGATCTTTGAAAAAGAGCAACACAGTGAAGAGGCCAACAGCAAACCAACCTGAGCTCCAGTTCTACAGCAAATCATTTTAATCTTCCAAACCTTACCTTCCACATCTATATAGAAATAGAAGGGAGTGAACATACTAATCTCGCTCAATTATTTTCAGGTTTGAATGAGGTAATGGGGGGAAAAGCACCAAGCACACAGACTGGCACCCAGCAAGCCCTCAACTGGTGGTTTCCTTTGTCTGCCCAGAGCTAGGGCTGTGTTCTATGGATAAAGCAAATGGCTCTTAGAACTGAAAGTCTCAGATACCTAGGTCCCTCCCTGCCTCCCCAACCCTCCCAGATCAGCTCTTGGACCCCCTTCTCACCTTCCCGGCCCAGAATGCTACTAAACTGATGAAGCTAAAAGGGTTTGACCATGTTGGTATATTTATATGTAAATACAAAACTGTATCGCTCTAAGATATTGATATGAACATTTACAATTATTTTCTGAATCTGACTCAGTCCATTGATGTTAAATACAAAATGAAAAGATTGTAAAAATAAGAATATATACATTCAAAGAGCTTATTATTACAATATAAAATTATTGAGGTCTGATCAGCTGCCAACCTCATCTGGGATAGAAGGTTTAGGGGTTCCTGGGATTTTCTTGGGAATGTGGAGTGCTGGGGACTCTTGAATCCATCCCTGGCACATCAGGCTGGGCAGGCTGGGAGCAGACAGGGACAGGATGGGGGAATAGGGGGCAAACAGTGATTGCAGGCAACTGCCCTAGCCAGCCAGGGGTTAAGCATTATATTGACAGAGCACACCGAGCCCAAGCTCCAGGGTAGGCTGCTAGGCAGGAGGAGATGGGCGTTTAAGTGGACAGGGCCAAGTTACATAAGAAAAGGAACTTTCTAGCAGAATAAATAGGGGCCCCAGTTCATTCTCCTAAGGAGGGATGCTCATAGTTGTTTTCTTTCTCTCTCACACCTGGGCTCCCTCTCCTTTCTTCTAAGACTTCGTACCAATTGCTCTTGGCTCTGACTGCTCATCTTTACTCCCAGACCCCAAGCTCCAAGGGACAGAAAGAGTGAAGAGGGGTCTGGAGTCACAGTGGAGGTCTATTCCTCAAATTGGCAAAGTAAACAGAATAAAATCATTAGATAAGGGCAATTCATGCTGAGTTAAACCAGTGTCACCACAAATCAGAATTCTCAGCTCCAATATCCCAGAAAGAGATAAGTCATTATGTAAGAATGAGGGCCTGTGGCAGGAGCATGAGGGGTGAATATATGTGTGTGTCCTCTTCTCCACTCTGGCGTCTGACAAGAGACATGATCCCCAGCCCCAGCTCGTCCAGGATAAACAGTAGGGTCCAAGAAGCAAAGAGTCCTGAACTGCAACACGGAGCCCCAGGAAAGTCTACAAAGGAGTATCTCTGTGTATATGTATTTATAGAATACGACCATATTATCACATACAATATATATTATATACACACATACATATGGACCCATACACATAAGTGCGTGCGCACACGCGCATACACACACACATACACACAGAATGACAGAAAAGACTGGAATACACGCCCTAGGTATAAACGTGCTTGGCACTCGGGACGTTCTCTAGAGTATGTAACTTGGTCAAGCTCTCTGGGAAGGAAGGTGGATGCTCACCAAACCTCCCCATCAAATCCTAGCAAAGGGAAGGAATGGGAAAGAGACCTTGAGAAGGGGAACGGCATTGGGAAAGGGGGGAGGGAGTTTCCTTCCCCACTTACCTCGGGGCCCCTGGCAAAAACCAATAGCCACAATTTGGTTTTAATAAGGCACAGTTCGATAGCAGGTGCTGGGAATTAAGAACACATTGCTGCTGGACCCTTCTAGTGGCAATTTCACCACAACTATCTAGCCAAAGGGAAAGGCTGCCTTGCGTGCACGAGTGCGCCAGGAGACACGAGGAAGAGGTTGGTCCATTGCTTCAGCATAACTGATGGCAACCTATAGGCTCAGCGGTGTCCAGGGTAGTTTAAGGAAGGCTGGCCAGCACGTAGGAGGATCGTGGGACAGTTACTGACCCTCCATGGCCAGGAGGTTGTGACTGGAGGGCACCATGCCCTCCCTCTCTGCAAACTCCAGGATTGCCTTGTAGCAAAAATAGTACTGCTCAGGGGTCTGGATGCTGAAGGCCCTCTGGGTCCTCATGCGGGACACCGTCTGGAACACGTTAAGGGTGCCAAGCTCCTCCAGCTGTGCCAGGCAGATGTCCAGTGAGCAGAAGGTACCTGAAGGAAGGAAAGAAGTGGTCATAACTGGTCTGTCTCTCCTGTCTATCCTTCCCTCTACTAAACGACCCAGACAGGCTGGAGGAATGAATTCAAGGGCAAAGTGCCTCATGGTACGTAGCCAGGTGGCCTTAGGACTGAAAGGATTCAAGGAGGAGGTCACTTTGGAGTGTTGGGGGTCCAGAGGAATGAGAAGCCTCTTGACTCAAGACAGTACAGCAGGTAACAGGAAGAGAAGGTGGGAAGGTGACAGAGAAGAACTACCTGCTTCAATCTTAGACAAGACAGAATGACAGCATTCCTATACCAGGGCCCTAATTTTTCAGAGACTCCACAACTCTTCCACAAAGACCTAACAGAAACCTATTCTTTCTTTCTCCCAAAGTGACCTCTGAGCTACAAAGACTAGCAATCCCTGCAATGCACATCCCTTAAGGTAAAAGCTGCTAACTAGCTCTGGAATGACAGCACAGCTTGGGGTGGGGATCTCTTTAGGGAGGGGGATGAGAAGGAAGCAATAGCCCAGCTGAGCTCTCTGGAACATCCAGGTGACAGTGATGGGGCCAGAAGATAATCATGCTGATGGGATGTGTAAAGCGTCAAGCCCTGGCCTCTGAAGTATATATTGTGGCTAGCACAGCTGGTGCCAGGGATACCAAAAGGACATTAAAGAGGAATTTTTCATGGCAGTTCACTACTGATAGATCAAATTCTCACAAATTAGCGACTAAGAGCTTTGTTATTTCTCTCCCATCTTTACTACCCCTGGATGCTCTGTAAGCTGCCATGTCATCAGGTATATTACCTGTCCTGCCTATGCCTGCGCTGCAGTGGACGACAATGGGTGGTTCAGGGCACTGCCCTTTGGAGCGCGCTGCCATGCTGCTGACAGCCAGCCTCTGCTGCTTCCGGACTACTCTCAAGAAGTCTATGAGAGAAGCTGCCGAGGAAGGGACACCATAATCTGGCCAGCTCAGGAACTGAAAGTGGGTCACCTGGCGTTTCTGCCGCTCCTTGGATGAGAAAAGAAGCAAAAGTTAATGAGGTCATTTCAGCTTACCCCTGACTACATTTGGCTTTTCTAGTTTCCCAATTCCCTGGTATCCTCACCGAGGTTCCTGCCTACTACCCTCAACTTTCTCCACAATTGCTTTCCCACAAGCCTAAAGGAAAGGTTAACTGTCTGAATAGGACAGAATTCCCTAGGTAGGACCCAGATTTCTTGTAAGTTTTGTTCCTAAGTAATGCCACTGTTGCGCTGAGACAACAATGGGTATATTGGCTCTGAGCTGAATATCCATATCCCGTTCCCAGGAAAATGAAATTAACTTACAAGCTGCCTAGATTTCTGCCTATTCCCTCTGGAAATTTCCTTTACCATAAAAGTTCTCCCCCAGCTTAAAAACCGTGAGAAAATAGAAACTGGGATTTACCTCTATGTTGTGAATTTCTAGTGTTGTTTTCTTGTAATGGTTCATGTTCTCCACGCCTAGATTGGTCACCGTGAGGAAGCCAAATTTGATCCGAGAGTCTCTTTCTAATGGCCAGTACTGGCCACACTTTCTCCTGCCGCCCTCCTCAAACCTGAAGACAACACAGAGCAAGGTAAGCCTTCCATCCTTCCTCTCCGCAGCAGAAAGCTATGATCTGCTGTACCCCGAAGAGCAATGTCATCTCTTGTGTAGCTTCTAACTTACACCTATGCTTCTTGGCAGAAAACGTGGGAAACCTTCATTCTAAACAGAGGTAGCAACAGCTAACGTTCTTGCATATACACATTTAGCAGACATTTATTGGGTGCCTGTTATACCATTTCATGACCTGAGCCTTGAAAGCAGAGGCTTTAACCCACTGAGCCACCCAGGCGCCCCCTCACTGCCCTGTAGTGGCTCGAATGCTCCCAGGTGGTACTTCTTGTACTACCACCTCTCCGAAGCAAAGGTGGTTGTGACTGTGCCATGAGAAAGGGAACTGAGCAAACATTTTCATTAACATTTTTCTCCTCATCTGAAATAGGTTCTAATTATCATAATGATAATGATGATACTAATGAATTTGTAATTCCTCAAGTTTTGGCAGATATGTAGACCAAAATTTCAAAAGGATTCCTTTCATCAAGAGCTTCCTGCCTGACCAACTATGTTTCATCTCTCTTTTTACAATTCTTTTACAGGTGGAAATACGAATGAGCAGAAAAACTGCCAAAAGTAGTAGGGAAGGAGAGAATAAAGGGGAACTGGTAATTTAGAAGCCTGGAAGACTGCTGCCCTTTGGAAGTAGGGAGCAGGTTAAAAGTGAATTGCCCCACGTTTGCTGACACTTCCTTTAGTGGATAAGGCCAGGACCTCAGAATAGCCTATAACTGGCACAGGGTCACCAGAGCCAAGGATTAAAATTTTGAAAAGTTAGATCAAAGCTGTGACAAGTTAGATCTATCAATTCCCACCATACCCTGGCTTTGTTAATTCTGGGTCAACTAAGACAAAGCTAAAACATCTCAAGATCTTTGCCATGGCTTTCCTAATCCTCATTGTTCTATGAGCTAAACTCCCCTCTTGAATTCCCGATGTTTGGGAACAGGGTGGAGGCAGAATGCAGAGGGAGGAAAGGGGAAGAACTCACCGGGTGGTCATGACAATCACCAGGACTTTTTGCTCCCATACCATGAGCCAGAAATCACGATAGGTATTCTCCAAAGGGCCTGGAATGGAAGGATAAGACAAGGAACATTACCCTGGAAGCCCTTCTTTCCTTCTCAGGAATTTCTGGGGTTTTATTTTTAAAGATATTTATTCTTTATCTGACAGACAGAGATCACAAGTAGGCAGAGAGGCAGGCAGAGAGAGAGGGGGAAGCAGGCTCCCTGCTGAGCGGAGAACCGGATGTGGGGCTTGATCCCAGGACCCTGAGATCATGACCTAAAAGGCAGAGGCTTAACCCACTGAGCCACTCAGGTGCCCCAGGAATTGCTGGTTTTTTCCCTCAACTAATAACTCCAAAGCACAGATGCTGGCTCCCTGCTCTTCTCAGGGCATCCCTGCTACTCAGGGTGGTCCGTGAACCACCAGCACCAGCATTGTATGAGAGAGTATTAGAAACGTGCAATCTGCGGGGGCCTGGGTGGCTCAGTGGGTTAAAGCCTCTGCCTTCCGCTCGGGTCATAATCCCGGGGTCCTGAGATCGAGCCCCACATCGGGCTCTCTGCTCAGTGGGGAGCCTGCTTCCTCCTCTCTCTCTCTGCCTGCCTCTCTGCCTACTTGTGATCTCTGTCAAATAAAGAAAGAAAATCCTTAAAAAGAAAAAGAAAGAAAGAAAGAAAGAAAGAAAGAAAGAAAGAAAGAAAGAAAGAAAGAAAGAAAGAAAGAAAGAAATGTGCAATCTGCATTTTAACAAGATCCCAAGTGAAGCTGTAGGTAAGTTACAGTTTGAGAAATACTGTTATGTACCTTCCCAAGAGTCTTACCATCAGGGCTTGAACCGGCACGTACACACAGACAGTGTCAACCGTGTACATGCCTCTAGCTGTTTCCATCTCCCTAAAGCCTTATCATCATCAGTAGCCTACTGAACTGATCCCCTTCCATGTCCCGTCATGGGTCTCCTTAGGCCCAACATGCTTGCGAATCAATCTCTTTCCTCAAAATTAGCCTTCTCTCTCTACTTTCCCATCTCTCTTTAAAAAAGTATTGGCATTCTTAAATCACTCAGTCTTAAAAAGTTGGAGTCAACTCTGACTTCCCATTTCCTTTATCTTCCAGAAGCAGTCACTAAGTTCTAGAGACTTTTTTGCCTTTGGATTCTTTTTGGCTTTTATCATGCCCTCCCGACCCAACTTCAAAGCCACAAGGACCACATCATCTTTTGTCTGAGTTACTGCAGTACTGTTTTGGTTTATTTTTCTGAATAGAACTCCTCTTCCAGTCTATTCTGGATACCCATGCCAGCTGAATCTTTCTAAAAATTTGCTTCATCACAGGGGTGCCTGGGTGGCTCAGATGGTTAAGCATTGACTCTCGATTTTGGCTCTGGTCATGATCTCAAGATTGTGAGATCAAGCCCCCTTTCTAATACTCAGTGTAGAGACTGCTTAAGAGTCTCTTCCTGGAGCGCCTGGGTGGCTCAGTGGGTTAAAGCCTCTGCCTTCGACTCAGGTCATGACCCTAGGGTCCTGGGATCAAGCCTCACATCAGGCTCTCTGCTCAGTGGGGAGCCTGCCTCCCCCCATCTCTCTGCATGCCTCTCTGCTGACTTGTGATCTCTGTCTGTCCAATAAATAAAATCTAAAAAAAAAAAAAAGAGTCTCTCTCTTCCTCTTCTGTCCCTTCCCTGTTCTGTCTCTCTCTCTCTCTCTCCAAAAAAAAAAGTAATAAATAAATAAAAATAAACTAAAAAATAAAAACTTGCTTCATCACAACATAGACAGCTCTTGATGACACAGCTGGATCAAAACAGCTTAACCAGGGGAGCCTGGATGGCTCAGTGGGTTGAGCCTCTGCCTTCGGCTCAGGTCATGATCTCAGGGTCCTAGGATCAAGCCCCGCATCCAGCTCTCTGCACAGCAGGGAGCCTGCTTCCCACCCCCCATCCCCCCCCCACCTCTCTGCCTGCCTCTCTGCCAACTTGTGATCTCCCTTTGTCAAATAAATAAAATCTTAAAAAAAAAACAAACCCCAGCTTAACCATTTAATGTATGTGGTCTTATATGAATCACTTTAGTTTGTAAGAAAAATCTCATCTCATCAAACATGGTGCTGAGGCTAATAGCCACATTGTCGAGTTCTCCTTTTAGAGTTAGAACCTTCACAGGGTTGGGCACTCAGGGGAAACTTTGAACATACTTGTGGGCCACCAACTCCCTTTAAATCAAGGAAGTAACAACTTGGGATAATTCCCTGTACTTTCCCAGTCCTTCTTCCTCTTCTGCTTTCAGGGAAGAAGGGCAGTATCAAGGGTTGATTTTGTCCTGGAAGTCCGCTGGTTTTACTACCATTTTTGCTAAAGCCTTTTAGTAGCATTAATGTTTTATGACACTAGAATTCCCTCTTGGCAGAAATGAGCTCTGCCAAAAGCATGTGAGGTTTTGGAAGCAAGCTAAATGTCTACCAAGAGAGGGCTGTTAAATTATGGCATATCCACGGCTTAAGTAGTCCATAAAGGTGATGTTGTAAGATCTATTATTTTTGCTCTGGAAAGGTATTCACAAGATACCATCAAATGAACTTTTGTTCACTTGTTACCTTTTTAGGTAACAAGTAGATAGAATACATCTTGTTAGATATTTTATATGTCTACATCTATTTGTTCAGAAAACAGTTTGGGGGCACCTGAGTGGCTCAGTGGGTTAAAGCCTCTGCCTTTGGCTCAGGTCATGATCTCACAGTCCTGGGATCGAGCCCCCGCGTTAGGCTCTGTGCTCAGCAAGAAGCCTGCTTCCCCTCCTCTCTCTCTGCCTGCCTCTCTGGCTACTTGTGATCTCTGCCTATCAAATAAATAAATAAAATCTTAAAAAAAGAAAGAAAGAAAACAGTTTGGAAAGAGATGCTATAGAATGTTAACATTATCTCTGGGTCTCAAGGTTATGAGTGAATTTCATCTCTATCTCTTAAATTTTCTACAATGCACTTACATTACCATAGTATGCATGTGAAGAAGATAGTGAGAACTCCCTTTCCATATCACTGACCCTGGCCTTGTCCACATCCTACTATCCTGCACCACAGCAGCACTCCTATGCTTTATTTTCCACCTTCAAATCACTGGCAAAAATGCTGTTGCCAATCAGAGCACCTAACAACCCAGATCCCATTCAGACTCAGGCTTGGCAAAGAGGGGTCATAATTTCTTCCAGGGCATAAGAGAGATTTAGAAGAGAATGCTGCACTTCCCAGATTACTCTTTAACAGTCAACTTTTCTAAAGAACTCAAGTCAGTGGTTTATGCTGACATGGGCACAACAATCCTTTGGCTTGGCTTACAAGGACTTCTGAATCAGACATACTCTCAAATCCTGGCTCTGCCACTTACTAGCTGTGTGATCCAAGATATGCCTAACCTCTTTGGGTTTGTTCATGGGTTAATAAATCTTCTTTGCAGAGTCTGTAATAATTAGATGAAGATTATAAGCCTGATATATAATAGATACTCTCAACAGATAATAGGTATTATTAGTAGAAATGTATTATAAGAATCAAAATACTGAATATAGCCAAGAAAGTTAGCAAGGCAAATCAAATTAGCTTTTTCCACATCACAGGACCCCATCTTCCAGTCCTAAGAGAGTACTGATGCTGTCTAAAGGTGATCTGTGCTTGACTCAAAATGTCTCTCTCGGGGCGCCTGGGTGGCTCAGTGGGTTAAAGCCTCTGCCTTCGGCTCAGGTCATGATCCTGGGGTCCTGGATCGAGCCCCACATCAGGCTCTCTGCTCAGTGGGGAGCCTGCTTCTCCCTCTCTGCCTGCCTCTCTGCCTACTTGTGATCTCTGTCTGTCAAATAAATAAAATAAAATCTTTTAAAAAAATGTCTTTCTCATACTCTTAGGGGAGTTTCTTCTGGATAGGGCCTTCAAAGCCACCCTAAAGAATCCAATTCCTGCAACTCCGAGTGGTAGCTTTGCCTTCTAAACCTGGAGGAGGAAGCATTCTGGGGTACCCTTGAGCCAATCCTTATCCACCATAAACCCAATCTGCCAAAACCATCCTCCTCAACAAAGCCCCTACTCTCAGGCAGATCATATCATATTGTATATGCCAAAATTTTTTCCCAATAATTCTAATTTCTTCTTAAGGTCTTGAAAGGACTCCCTTTGGAGGGAGTGGTCCCTCCTTGGCGGGCGGGGGGGGGGGGAGATATAAACCTGTGACCATCAGACCAATTAATATCAAATTTGAAAAATTTGAAACCAATGAAAAGTTGGAAGAATACTACAATGTACTCATAAATTCTTGAGCTTTAAAGCTATGGTTTTTAGCTATCATTACAAGATTTATTTCTCTCTCTATGATAAATACACATACTTTTTATTTTGTAACTATTTAAAAATTAGTTCCAGAAATTATGACCTTTTATTCCTAAGTACTTGGGCACATATTTAGAAGAACAAGGACTTTCTCCTAGAGAACAATACCATTGTCATACTGAACCAATTAAACACTGATACAGTAATATTACCTAACATATAGTCTCCATTTATCCCAAGTTTGTCCTTAATAGTCTTCTTCTCTAAACTGAAGTTCCAATAATGGGCACATGCCTTTAGTTATCATGTCTCTTTGGTCTCCTTTAATCTAGAACAGTTCCCTGCTTTTGTTTTTCATGGCTTTAACTTTGAAGAGTCTAAGCCAGTTTTCTAATAGTATGTCCCACCATCCCATCTGGATTTGTCTGGTTTACTTTTCACGATTCAGACTTCAACAATGGCAACAAACAATAAAGGTTATGTTGTATAGTTCTCACTATATCACAATAGAGGCATAATATCTACCTATTATTGGTGATACTAAGTTTGATCACTTGCTAAGGAGGTATCTGCCAGATCTTTTGCTGCCAGATCTGCAATGGCCAAAGCCTCTTATGTCCTCCTGTGTTGTGATCTCTCCCCACCCTCTTTGAAGACAAGACAACTTGGTATTCTCCTTCAGATGGCCGAAGCCAGGTTAGGAGTTTCTGGGGCCTACAGAAGCATTTGTAGAAACTCTGTCTGAAATCTTCACTGTTAGACCTAGTATAGACTATCCATGTCAGAAGACTTCTGGGTGTTCTCTGATTTACAAAAACAAGCAAAAGTCACCTAGGACAGCAACACCCTTTTACAGACTGGACTCAATCTCTGAGAATTCCCACTGCCATTCCTGGCCTCCTATTGGACATAAAGAATATTTCACAGGCCAGTGAGTTCTGATGTCCCATTCCCATAGGTTGGCAATGGATAATCCTAAAACTTGTAGTAGGTTGTATGTTCAAATCTCTCGTTTATCTCTATGCAGTGAGTTTCCAGGCATATCTGGTACAGAAACTCTATACCTCTCCTCTGCCTTCCTCAATAACCCCCAATCATTATGAAAGGCCGGGATCTAGTGGCCACAACATCACCTCAAGTTACCATAGCCTTCAAAAGGAATGCAATCATCAGGTACAAGAAATCATAGATAGATGACATAAAACCAACTTGTAAGGAGCATCCTAACTTACCTTGCGTACCAATGTAAGCATTCTTCTGCTTGTAGCCATCCATGAAACTGGCATTGATGTAATCTGTCTAATGATAAAAAGGAAATATCATTGCAGCTGTGTGAAATACACCATTTGGGTGGGAAATATTATGTACAAGGTAAATAAAACCCAAGGTGTAGATATTCTCTTCCTGTCAGGAAAACAGTGAGGAGCAAAAGGATCAATTCAAAACTTTGCTTCTACAGGAGTGCCTGGGTGGCTCAGTCGTTAAGCCTCTGCCTTTGGCCCAGGTTATGATCCTGGGTCCTGGGATAGAGCCCTGCATTGGGCTCCCTGCTTGGCAGGAAGCCTGCTTCTCTCTCTCCCATCCCCCCTGCTTGTGTTCCCTCTGTCGCTGTCTCTCTGTCAAAAATTAAATAAAATCTTAAAAAACAAAACAAACAAAAAAACTTTGCTTCTACAAATGTCACTGGAACAATGGGATATCCACACGCAGGAAAAAAAAATCAAGCTGGCCTATTCCTCACACTGAACACAAAAACTGACTCAAAACGGATCACAGACCTAATGTAAGAGCTAAAATTATAGGGATGCCTGGGTGGCTCAGTCGATTAAGCTGCTGCCTTTGGCTCAGGTCATGATCCCAGGGTCCTGGGATCGAGTCCCGCATCGGGCTCCTTGCTTGGGGTGGGGGTTGGGGGGTGCCTGTTTCTCTCTCTGCCTCTGCCTGCCACTTTGCCTGCTTGTGCTCTCTCTCTCTCTGACAAATAAATAAATAAAATCTTTAAAAAAAAAAAAGCTAAAATTATAAAACTCTTAGAAGAAAATGTAGGATTAAATCTTTGTGACTTTGGGTTAGGTAAAGCCTTCTTAGATATGACATCAAAAGTACAAGCAGTAAAAGAAAAAACAGGTTAATTGGACTACATTAAAATTAAAAACTCTGTGCTTCAAAAGACACCATCAAGGGGCACCTGGGTGGCTCAGTGGGTTAAAGCCTCTGCCTTCGGCTCAGGTCATGATCCCATGGTCCTGGGATCGAGCCCTGCATCGGGCTCTCTGCTTGGCAGGGAGCCTGCTTCCCCTTCTCTCTGCCTGACTCTGTCTGCTTGTGATCGCTCTCTCTCTCTCTCTCAAATAAATAAATAAATAAATCTTAAAAAAAAAAAAAAAAAAAAGACAGCATCAAGAAAGTAAAACCACCTACAGAATGCACATATTTGGTAAGGGACTTACATCTAGAAAATATAAAGAATTTTTATAATTCAACAGCAAAAAGACAACCTAATTTTAAAGGGGGGCACCTGTGTGGCTCAATCAGTTAAACATCTGACTCTTGATATCAGTTTAGGTCATGATCTCAGGGTGATGAGTTCAAGCCCTGCACTGAGCTCCAAGCTGGTGTGGAGCCTACTTAAAAAAAAAAAAAAAAAAAATTAGGGGCACCTGAGTGGCTCAGTCATTAAGTGTCTGCCTTTGGCTCAGGTGATGATCCCAGACTTCCTGGGATCGAGACCCACATGGGCTCCAGACCCACATTGGGCTCCCTGCTCAGAGGGAAGCCTGCTTCTCCCTCTTCCACTCCCCCTGCTTGTGTTCCCTCTCTCGCTGTGTCTCTCTCTGTCAGATAAATAAATTTTTAAAATCTTTAAAAAAAAAAAAAAAAAAAAGTAAAATGAGCAAAGGATCTCAATAGCCATTTCTCCAAAGAAGATATACAAGTGGCCAATAAGCACATGAAAACACACTCAACATCATTAGCCATCAGGGAATTACACATTAAAACCATAATGAGGGGTACCTGGATTGAGCATCCAACTCTTGTTCTCGGCTCAGGTCCTGCCCTCACTAAGTGAGTTCAAGTCCTGTGTTGAGCTTTGCTCTGGGCATGAACACTACTTAAAAAAAACTGCAAAACTGGGGTGCCTGGGTGGCTCAGTGGGTTAAGCCTCTGCCTTTGGCTCAGGTCATGATCTCAAGGTCTTGGGATCGAGTCCTGCTTCGGGCTATCTGCTTGGCAGGGAGCCTGCTTCCTCCTCTCTCTCTTTCTCTGCCTGCGTCTCTGCCTACTTGTGATCTCTCTCTGTCAAATAAATAAATAAATTCTTAAAACACACACACACACACAAAACTGAAAAGTCAAAACCATGAGGAGATACCACTTCAAACCCATTAGGATGGTTACAGGTACAAGATGGATAATAACAAATGTTGACAAATATGTGTAAAAACTAGTACCCTCATATATCCCTAGCGGGAATGTAAAATGGTCCAGTCATGTTGGAAAACAGTCTGGCAATTCTTCAAAAGGTTAAACACAGAGTTACCACATAACCCAGCAATTTCACTCCTGAGGGAAATGAAAATACATGTCCACAGAAAAACTTGCACACAAATATTCATAGCAGCATTATTCATAATAACCAAAAATGGAAACAACTCAAATGGTATTCACTTGATGAATGGATAAATAAAGGTGCCTAGCCATACAAAAGAGTATTTTTTAGCAATAAAAAGGAGTGAAGTACTGACACATGCTACAACATGGACGAACCTTGAAAACATGCTAAATGAAAGAAGCCAGACACAAAGGCTACATATTGTATGATTCCATTTATACGAAACATCCAAAATAGGCAAATCCATAGAGACAGAAAGTACACAGACTGGGAGAAAATGGGGTTTGACTGCCAAAGGTATGGAGTTCCTTTTTCAGGTGATGAAAATGTTCTACAGTTGACTGTGGTGGTGAATATATTTAAAAAGCACTGAACTAGGAGCACCTGGGTGGCTCAGTTGGTTAAGCGTCCAAGTCTTGCTTTCAGCTCAGGTCATGATCTCACAGTCAAGAAATGAGCCCCACTGTGGGTTCCACGCTCAGGACGGTGTCTGTGGGAGAGTCTCTCCCTCAGCTCCTCCCCCCACTTGCAAGCACCTGTGCTCTCTAAGTAAATAAATAAATAATCTATCTTTTAAAAAAGGACAAAAACCAAACTACTGAATAATATACCTTATTTTTTTAAGCTTTTATTTATTAGAGAGAGAGAGAACATGTCTGCACTTGAACAGGGTGAGAGGCAGAGGGAAAAGGAGAGAAAAAATCCCAAGAAGAAACACCCCGCCCCCTCTGCCAAGTGCAAACCCAGACGTGGGGCTCAATCCAAGAACCCTGAGATCATGACCTGAGCCAAAATCAGGAGTTGGACGCTCGACCAACTAAGCCACCCGGGTGCCCCTATATACTTTAAATGGGCAAATTGTATGGTATGTGAATTACATCTCAATAAAGCTGTTATTTACCAAAAAAGGAGTCCATTAAGATTTGCAGCACTGGTTCAAAACCAAAAGGGAGGCAAGCCAAGCACCCTGAGCAGGAACATCCTGTCTATGCTGTCACACACAAAAGGCGAAGTGTGACTAGAGAAGGAAGAAAGCTCTACCTCATATCTAGCACCATCAACAGTACTGGCCAAACTCGCAGGCTCCTTTACTACCTGAATTGACACAAAGCAACAGCCAGACAGATTTAGAGAAGCCTCAGTGAACAGATCTTGACTCGCTGTCTTCTGGGAGACTTGTCTCATCTCCTAGTGTCCTCAGTCTTATTTCAACATCATTAGCTATCAGGAAAATTAAGTAGGATTTTAACTTTTCTTGTTTTTATTATATCTTCTCACAAGACCTCTGCCAACACCCTTGCTGATAATCCAAGCTAATAGAAGAGAACCACAGATGCAGGCAGAGTATCAAGTCACAGTATAACTAGTTGAGAGTATCAGCAGGTACTATGAATAGCAGACCATGTGGAGGGGCATAGGAGGACAAAGACAAAGTTTCAATGTCAAACTAGAGAAAATTCATACTCCACTCCACTCAAGGAAGTCAGAGTGACTCCCTAAACCTGTCACCTTCTCTCCACTGAGTTCCATCACTTGGGGAGGGCAGTCTGAATTGTCAGTATCCACAGCCACCCTCAGAAGGCTTCTCCACGTCATGGTCAAACCCACATTACTTGGATATGTGTCTGTTAGCCAGTCAGTCTACCAACTTATCCTATCACTAGTTTTTTTTTTTTTTTTTTAAGATTTTTATTATTTATTTGACAGACATCGAGAGAGGGAACACAAGCAGGGGGAATGGAAGAGGGAGAAGCAGACTCCCCCACTGAGCAGTGAGCCCAAAGTGGGGCTTGATCCCAGGACCCTGGGATTATGACCTGAGCCGAAGGCAGATGCTTAAGGACTGAGCCAGCCAGGTTCCCCTATTACTAATTATTTAGGCAAGAGTTTCCTGCTTTCTCCTTCCACAGCAGTTGATACTGACCTCATACTACTAGTGTTCTAGTGGCTAAGACATCTTCACTGAGCTAAGGGACCACCTGCAGCAGACCCAGCAAGCTTAAGCCTCAATCACTCCCAACCAGGCTGCGTAATCCAGGCCCCACTATAGTCCGCCAAGGCTATCTTCTGCTTAGCCTGGCACATTCAAGTGCTATACTCTGTAGGACCCAGGCAAGAAGGCACAGAAAAATACAAAGGATTTACCTGGTACAAGCCAGTCGACACTATTCTGTAAGTAATGTATAAGCTGTTACTCTTAGAGCTACCTTCACGCTTTGAAAAGAAATATCGCTACTTTAATGGAGACTTACTATTTCTTTATAACTAAGGATACAAGCTTTCAGTATCCTCGTCTTTGAGAGCCCTGGGAATTAAAATCAGCCATTTCAGAAGAATCATCAGAAATAAAAACTGAAAATGACCTCAGACATAAAGTATAGACTGGGGGGGAAAACTGAAATAGCAGAGAATCAAACCAAGTACACTATGTTATGGGCCACGTTCAATAGAAACTGTGACTAATAGCTTTATAATTCCAGGAGCAAATCTGGTGACCAATTCAATAATAAACCTGAATCCACCATTTATTGTAGAAATAAAGCTCCTGCCAATGTTTGCAGTAATGAAAGGAGTTTAATTCAAGTGATGATCTTTAGATTAATCATAGGATGACTGAACAGTCTGGTGGTATACTGGGATTCACTAATTCCTTCAGAAATAATTTACTGAAGGCCTGATATGTACTGTTCTAGGTACTGGAGACACAGCAGTCAAGAAGACAGATAAATACCGCTATCTGACTCCAAAGTCCCAACTCAACCATTATACTCCACTCATTCAGAGTATATACTTGATGATCTCAGTAATAGTCATGAACTTACCCTAAGCTGGCCAGACTCTGAGCTAATGCTCCTGTAGGAAAACCCTTTCGTAAGGGTCCTGGGCAGGGCTGTGAATTCAGTTTACACATGATCTTAGCCAAAAGGCCAAGAAGCAATTGAACTCAGTTTATATACTGGAAACCATGATCCTAGGGTCCCAATCCACGTATCATATATACCCGAATACAAGGCAATAATTTTCCCAAAAATTATCCCCCCAGAAAAAAGAGACGGGATGTAACAAGCTCCTAAAGTGTGTGGCCATGTTAAAGGGGCACTATTTAAATTCATTTACTTTGAACAATGGCCTCAATCAATGCTGTTTTTTTGATGCCTATGGAGGGCCCCAGACAGAACTGGCATATCCAAAGGAAAAAGAAGAAATGTAATAACACATACTTGGTTGCTGACCTCAAAATTCTAAGTGTTGGATGTTGCTGTGAAGAGGACTTTAAAAAACAGTAAGTGAATAATCATGCTACAGAAAATACATGGGATACAGGATGAATGGAAGGATAAATTGTGTTAATGTTATGCTAATAGACTTTCCTGGTTTAGGATAAATTTTTCAGTGACAATACCATATACTTAAAAAGAAGTAAAAACTGTGTGCTCTGGAAAACTGTTAGATTGACTCAGGAAGTGGCTCAAATGAGGACAAAGACACTGATGTTAAAGGTACATGTGAGGAGTTTCACTAAATATCTATACTAGTATAAACATGTGATTTTTAATATGAACAGATATGATCAAATTAGTATATTAAGTAACATAATCACTTGACCATTTCAACTCTATCCCTAGATACTTATGTGTACACTAGTTGTCCAAAATTATTTTTAGATCTTCTAGGTGGAAAAATCACAGGTCACTTTAATTAGAGTTGCCCTGTATTGATACATATACATTCACTAAAATGGTGGACAACAGGACTAAAACTTTACAACTAAGGAGTGAAAGGAGAAATAATTGACATTTATCAAGCACCTATGATATACCAGACCTTGCACTATCAGCATTTACATAAAATTTTCCATTTAATTTCCACTTAGTCCTGTGAGATGGACTTACAGGGACTTGCTTATGGTAACAGACTAACTCATACATAGCAAAGTTAAAACTCCAACCTGATCTCTCTGGTGTAGAGTTCATGTTCTTTCTAGTATGGCATTAGTAAGCTTCACTTTGGAAAATTTCCCTCAGTGCTCCTGAAAAGATAGCACTTATCTGTGTACCTGAGTGTGACCACTTCGTTTGGTCAATTTCACTCTAGTTTGGTCCAGGCAGGGTACATCCCCATAGCGGTTCTTCTCTAGGTTTCCTGGAGACCTGAAGAAAATGAAACAAACAAACTAAAACAAAGACAGAAAAGGTGGAAGGAGTGTGTATGTGTACATACAAAGTCCAGCAACGCAAAGGTGGGTGACCGTTACCATTGGTGTTGAAGACATGGAGCAATGATCTAATCTATCCATATTCTGTATCATTTAACATTTTTTTAAAAAGATTTTAATTATTTATTTGACAGAGAAAGTGACAGGGAGAGAGGGAATACAAGCAGGGGGAGTGGGAGAGGGAGAAGCAGTGAGCAAGGAGCCTGATGCGGGGTTCTGGGATCATGACCTGAGCCAAAGGCAGATGCTTAATGACTGAGCCACCCAGGGGCCCCTCATTTAACATTTTTAATATGTGTGTATTCATGGGCAAATAAAGATATTTTCATTTGAAAGAGAAAATGAGGGGTGCCTGGGTGGTTCAGTAGGTTGGGCCTCTGCCTTAGGCTCAGGTCGTGATCCTGGGGTCCTGGGATTGAGCCCTGAGTCTGGCTCCTTGCTTGACGGGGAGTCTGCTTCCCCCTTCTGTCTCTCTGCCTGCCTCTCTGCCTACTTGTGATCTCTGTCTGCCAAATAAATAAGTAAAATCTTAAAAAAAAAAAGAGAGAGAGAGAGAGAAAGAGAAAATGAGAGAGAAATAGGGGTATAGACGCACCAAAAAAAAAATCTGGCTGCTAAGAAACCTAAGTTCCAGTTTAATATGGTAGGTTGACAACATATGTTTGTCCACTTAATCTAGTAAAATCACAATAAAGGCACTAATCAGTACAAACCCCAAAATGATGGCAGAGACATCCGCAAACAAAGAGTGAAATCCATTTGGCAGAGAGAAAACAGATGGAGGAATATTGGCTGCCTTGGTCAAATGCAGAAAACTAGGACCCACAGAGGTATCTACAGAGAGACACAATGACTCACTCTCACCACTCCCATACCCTGGAAAGCAAGGTGAGGCACAGGGTTAAAAACAGAGGAATAAATGAAAATCTGAATGATAGTGAGAATTCCCTGCCCTGTCCTCTCCTGTCCTATACTTGTATCAAGTTTGGACCCTCCCAAGCTAGAAAGTAGAGAATTCCTCTCTGGAGAAAGTGAATAGCCCTATATGAAAGAATTCTGTCACTTGAAGTACATCAACAACAAGCTAGCTGATCATTTAAATTTGCAGATCACTCACACAAAGAGCATTTCCAAGCAGCTTTTAAGGACCCCCCCCATAATGTAAATTAACAGCCAGAGATCTCCAGATAATTACAGAAAGCTCCAACACAAAAAAGAGACCAATCAAACACATAGTAAGGAAAAAGCACAAGAGAGAGTCAGTAAGAAAAAGTAAGTTCTAAAAGACTATAATTAATACCCTCAGAGAGAAAAAGGTACTGTATCTATGAAATAAGAAGAGGACGCTATAAGAAAGGAACAGAGAAGAAAAGCTCTTGGAAAATAAGTATGCTATCCAAAGTAAAAACTTTAATAAGAGAGATGGAAAAGAAAGTTGAAGAAATTTTCCAGAGTAAAACAAAAAGTCAAAGTGATGAAAAATGTGAGAAAAATTTTAAGAAAATAAGACAATCATTCTAGAGCAGGAGTCAGCAACTACAGCTTGGCCAACCTGTTTTTGTAATTAAGAGTTTTACTGAAACACAACTAAGCCTGTCAGTGTAGTACAGTCTATGACTTCTTTTACACTATAATGGCAGAGTTGATTACACTTGCAATAAAGATTGCACAGGTGGGCGCCTGGGTGGCTCAGTGGGTTAAGCCTCTGCCTTCGGCTCAGGTCATGATCTCAGAGTCCTGGGATTAAGCCCCACATCAGGCTCCTTGCTTGGTGGGGAGTCTGCTTCTCCCTCTCCTTCTGTGCTCTCTCTCTCTTAAATACATACATAAAATCTTAAAAAAAAGTTAGGTAATTAACTCCAGAAGAAACAAAAAATTGAATTGATAAAATTTAATATATTTTATTTTATAGAAGCTGCCCATCTAGTTCTGTAGTGGAAAAATTTACATAGTCATAATAATGTAAACAGTGACTACTGATTTAATTAAAAATATGACATTATTTTATTGGAAAAACAGTCAAAAGTGAACTGGATACAAGGTATAAGAACCAAATGCTTACCTAACATAAAAATCAATGAAGAGTATTATAAGCATTTTATTTAGAATCACAGAAGAAATATCAGAAGAAACAGCTATTAAGAAAGAGTTGAAAATGGATACCTGGAGGAACCAAGGGTAAGGAAGAGGACTGCCATTAATTTTATCATTCGAATTCTTCGGTACTATTTTGTTTTGTGGGGGAAAAGTATATATATTGATGAAGCAAAAAAATTACTAAAATATAAATATTATCTAATATAAAATAATATTCTATTATTCATAGCTACCAACAAATATGTAACAGAATAAACAAAATAGTCTGGAAGGAAAAGGCACCATATTCATAGTTAGTTGCAGCTTCTGGCGAATAGGGGAGAACTGAGGATGAGGATTGGAAGGCATTTACAATGAATTCTTTCTTTTCTATAACAAAAAAAGATGGAGCAAATATGACAAAATATTAAAAATTGTCAGTATTCTGGTGACAGGAACATAGTTGTTTATCATGTTATACTCTGTACTCTTCCATATTTTAAAAAATTCCCTCTTCCCACACAAATAAGTCCAACTGATATTTTACAAAATCCCAAGAACAATTCAATGGAGGAAGGATTTTTTCAGCAAACGGTGCTGGAGCAACTGGATATCTACAAGCACGCGAAAGTGCATGTGCGCATACACACACACAACATCAACATCAGCCTAAATCTTACACCTTATACAAAAATTAATTCAAACGGATCACAGACTTAAATAAATGTGAAATATAACACTATAAAATGTTTAGAAAAAAAGGAGAAAATCTTTGGAATTTAGGGTTAGGTGTTCTTAGATTTGGCATCAAGAGTGTGATCCATACAAGGGAACCCTGATTAAAGGATTTCATCAGAATAAAACTTGTGCTTCACCAGGGACCGTGTTAAGAGGATGAGAAGACAAGCTACAGACAAAAAACAAAACAAAACAAAAAAAAACCCACAAACCATGTATCCAACCAAGAACCCATATCTAGAATATGTTTAAAAACTCAAATCTCAATAGTTTAATAAAAAGTCCAAATTGAGGGGAGCCTGGTGGCTCAGTCATTGGGCATCTGCCTTCAGCTCAGGTCATGATCCCAGGGTCCTGAGATCAAGCTCCACATTGGGCTCCCTGCTCGGCAGGAAGCCTGCTTCTCCCTCTCCCACGCCCCTTGCTTGTGTACCCTCTCTTCCTGTGTGTCTCTCTCGTTAAGTAAACAAATAAAATCTTAAAAAAAAAAAAAAACCAGGAAAAAAGCATGACATTTTGCGAAGAGAATATACAGATGGTAAATAAGCACATGAAAAGATGCTTGATATAATTAACTACTAGGGAAATGTAAATTACACCAATCTATTACACACCTATTATGACAACTAAAATAAAAAATGGTGGTGGCAAGAGCAAATGCTGGTGAGGATGCTAAGAAACTTGATCACTCAGACATTGCTAGGGGTAAATCAAGTGGTCCACCCGGGCAGTTTCTCATCAAACTAAACATCTAATTACCATATGACCATTTATCCCAGAGCAATGCAAATGTATGTTCATACAAATCCTAGATACAGTCATTCATAGCAGCTTTACTTGTAGGTGCCAGAAACTCTAAATAACCTCGACGTCCTTTAACGGGCGAACAGTGAAACAAACCATCCATACCACGGAACGGTACTCGGCAATAAAAAGGATGAATGACTGCTACCTGTAACAGCAACTTGGGTGAATCTCCAAGGAATTACACTGAGGGGAAAAGGCCGATCCTCAAAGGTTACATACGGTATGATTCGATTTATATAAGAACATTCTTGAAATGAAAAAACTATAGTAACAGAGACCAGATTAGTGGTTGCAAGGGTTAGGGATGGGTCGGGGTGGGACTGAGGTATGTGATGATGTAATTCGTCTGTATCTTGACTGTGGTGATGGATATACAAACAAACATGGGAGCTAAAAATCACCTGGAACTAAATACACACACACACTCTAAAACTGGGGAAATCTGAATAAGACTGGTGGATAATAGTATCAATATCCTAGTTGTGATACTATATCATCCTGTATGTATAGAAGATGACACCATGGGAAAACTCTGGAAAGGGTACATGTGATCTCTCTGTATTATTTCTTACAACTTCATGGGAATCTACAATTATAATAAAAAGATAAATTTTAAAATATCATTTTCAAAACATGGTGTAGGGAAGAAGAAAAAAGAGAAAGGAAGTTTCTTGGTCCATGGGCATCCTGGACAACAATGAGTACTCTGATATCTACTTCATAATCCAGAAATCCAAAGGAGAAATAGTTTGTTCTGTATAAGCAGTTTTACTGGAACTTAGTATAAGACAGAGAGACCTTGAGCTAATTTGGATTCTGGGTTCTAGCTCCTGAAGTGGGAGACTCATTCATTCAACAAGGGACAAGACTAGCAAGTCTTTCCATAGGACTGAAAAGTATTCTCTGACTATAACATGATGGCTGGTTTGGATGATGCCAAGAGGACAATCCAAACCTGATTTTTTAATGGAGGGAAGGGGGAAGATGGTAGAAATGACATCTCAAGGACCTCACAGCAGAAGCCTCCAGAACAAAGTTAGGAATCCCCAAGACAAGTATGCATCCTCTTGGAGCAGCCCAGTACTCCTCTCAGCTCCATAATACTTCCTTGATTCAAAAGTAGAGGGGGAAGAACTGGTTGGGACAAAGACTGGATGCATACAGAGGTTGTGAACTGGTTAAGAAAGAAATAGCTGTGTGGGAGAAAAGAATACTCTGTTCCACTTTGATATATGCTCTGCTTTCTTGCTTTTTTTTTCTTCCCTTTGCATTTTGCTCTATTGACTTTCTTCTCAAGTGTTTCTTCTCTCTTTTCTTATCCGTTTCCTAACTCATTCTTTCCCCTCTTTCCTTTGGCTAAGCCTCTCTCCCTGCATCTTCTTTACAGTACACTGACCAAGCTGGACAGGAATTACAAGGGGGAAGAGGTATTCACAGAATCAAGGATTCTTAAAACATTTAAGCTACACAAGCAGGTGGCTATCAGAGTCGAACATCATATATTACATACAAGAAAACTGGGGTGCAGCCAAGGGAAATAACCTGCATAAACCACAGAAGGGATTTTGGGCTATGTTGGAACTTGAGCCTGGGACAGTTTCCCTAGTTTTCAACAAAGAAACAGAAATTTCTGCAGCAGCCAGTGACAACAGGGTAAAATGAGAGCAGTTAAGAGAAATTATCTATGTCCTATGGCCAACAATAGTTACCAAGTAATTATGAACCAGTTATAAACTAGCCAGGTAGTTCTGTAGAAGGAAAATCCCAAAAGGCCAAATTCCTAAGAGTTAATTCTTTTCTCTTACATACTGTAGATTATTTTAAATGCACCAGAACCCCTCCTAAGAAAGTAATGTTATACTATAAATGCTCTAGAAAGAAACTGCCCAAGTAAAAGGACCAGAGATCACAATGAAAACAGGAACTGAGAGCCTACATTTTTGAACCTTCATTTTTGTTGTTTCCCCCAAACAAGTGCATTTCAGAAAAATACCTTAAAATGCCTCTATTATTACATGGTTCCCCGGATGGTACTAAAGACCTCCAGAAATTCAGAATATAGGGTATTGGCATCAGGCACCAGAACAGGAGGTGCCTGTTTCTGGATGAGAGAACCACCATCTGAGTAAGAGTCATGCTCCTAACACAAGCAAGAGCCTCTGTTAAGGAAATGAGATGAGGATGGAGCTGCTGCCAGCATGCACCAGTAGCATGTTGGTAACCCACCGTCAGTCCAAACCTTTCTTACTTACATAGAACAGTGGAAAGTCCCAACAGGGTTCTCACGGCGAATGTCTTCATACTCCTCATATATCCCTCGCTTTTGCCTGGTGCTAACATAGTCCATCAGCTCTTGGATGGTCATGGCATGGGGGCCTGGAACATGTACTGAGTCCCAGTCTAAGGCAGGAGGGAGGGAGAACAGGATGATCTCATCGAAGGGGTCTGGGTGGCCGTTCATCTGGGGCAGGAACTGGAAATTCCAAGACGCGAGGTCAATTTTGACGTACCCACCCAGGTTTTCTGGAAGGCACTCCCTGGGCAGGTGCTGGGTGACCTCAGATGTCTTTAATATCTGAATCTGCAAAGCCAGAAAGAACCACTTGAGTATGGACAGGAAAAAAAAGACATAGACAGTGAAGATAAAGAACAAATGTGTTTATATTAGGTTTGAAGAATAGGATGAGATTTGCTTGAAATAGATGGTATACTTGTAAAAGAAGTAGACTGCATTTCATCTGCCTGGGATTAAAGTCCTATAATTTCCCCAAAGGCCTGACTTCCCAGAATGTATATAAAATACACTCCTGTAATTTGTCCCTGAATTTTTTAAGATTTTATTTTTAAGTAATCTCTACACCCAACACGGGGCTCAAACTCACAACCCCAAGATCAAGAGTCATGCACTCTACTGACTAAGCCAGGTAGGTGTCCTGGGAGCCCTTTTATATACCTCAAAAGGAAAGTACACTGAACAAAGCCTTTATACTATTAACAATGCTTCCCAGTGATATCTCATGCAGGTATTTGCCTTTTTGATTATTAAGAATGCACAGGTAGTGATTTTTTTTGGTCAACCCCATAGTAAGGTAACCAACTCTAAGCCTGGCGCTTTACTCACAGTTCAGTATGGATGTTCTCAAAGGTAGTTTTCTATGAAAATAACACTAGACCCAGATACAGGGTAGCCCAGGAAAACTGCCAGAAAAGTAATCCTAATTCTGCTCTCTGCTTAGACACAAACTTACTGAACAAAACTGGCCTAGTTGACATAAAGTCTGTGTGAAATGGGAATGCTTGTCATTCTTGCTGTTGTCTCTTCTTAGAATACCCTCTTTTCTTCCTTGGCCTCTTCATGGACAAGCTACAAAGCTCACCTCTTCTGTGAAGCCCTCCCTGACTGCTCAATAGAATATTCTCAACTCTGTGTCTACCTCATGTCTACCTGTGTGTTCCCTATCAGGAACACAAGCTCTCTACAGGTAAACGAAGTCTCACTCCATTTTTTTATTCCCAGGGACCAGAACCTGGACTGTAAAGGTGCTCATATATTTTAAGTTTATATACACATTAATACTTACATATAACAAGTGCAAGAATTTGCCTGAGGAGTCCTATCAAAGAGTATCTTGGAAAAGATTTCTCCTACTCTCAGTCACTAGGTCCCTAAGTACTTCCACAAAGCCAAACGTCTTCAGTTTCCCCTCTCCAACACAAGTCTCCCCTGCTATAAAGATCCACATTGTTGTTGATATAATCTCATAATTCTATACTACAAAAATCTCTAATAATATTTCATAACAACTATAATCAGATTACGTCAATGTTTCATATGCCCTTTCTTTCAAGGGTGAGAAATGAATGAATGAATAAAACCAAAACCTTTCAGTCCTGGAACACTCAGGAGATAAGAGAATTAAGATCATTTTAGACAACACCTTTTTTTTTTTAGACAACATTTTTGAAGTTAGGAAGCAACAAGGTGTTTTAAGAGAAAATGCCAGGAATGGAAATAGACATATAAAGAATTATAGTGAGAGATTCTCCTCCATGACGCTGGTGGTCAAAGGACAGATTAGTATTTCCAGTTGAACAAATTCAAACATCAGTTCAATTAATGCAATTCTATTAGAGATTGTTAAATACACAGGTATAGCACTAGGCTAAATTCTGGAAGGAGTAGTTATTCCTAAGTTATCCATGGAACACACTCCTTCACTGTTATCTTTATGCAAGATACTATGGAGGGAGAGTGCCAGACAAACTATGTCTACCTCCTAACTTCAAGGAACTAGCAGTACAGTGGTAAAGGAAGCCTGTACTGACCTGAGTAAAGAATAAAGCAGAAAATATAAATGGATACACTAATAGAAGCAGAAAGCACTTTAGGAGATAGCCCAGATGAATTCTATTGAAGGTAAAAAATTAATTGGCAGGTTTCAACAGCAGAAATGGGAAGTTTGTCACCTCCTTCAAATAACCACCTCCACCTACAAATAAAATAAAGCTCGCCTTACCCTCTCCCGGACTTTGTCCTTCAGGAGGAGGCTGATGATGGAATAGGGCACTCGGAACCATATTGGCGCTCCCACAATCAGTACTTTTTTCAAACGAGCAGGAAACGCTCCCTGTGGAGGACACACATGAAAATTTAAAGATATCAATTAAGGCACTGGAATCTGTGACTGTTCAAACCCAGAGTGTAGGTTTTCTGCTCTTTTCCCCATCCTTACCCAGCAGGGGGAGTCTAAAGCCTAGTTCAGGTTTCATTTCAGTAACTACAGAAGTGGTTAAAAATTTAAAAATTACACACCTGAAACTAATAGAACACTCTTATGTTAACTATACTGGAATTAAAATGAAAAGCTTAATAAAAAATTAAAAGATGATTTACTTTTTTTAAAAAATTTATTTATTTGACAGAGAGAAAATGAGCACAAGCAGGGAAAGCAGCAGGCAGAAGGAAAGGGAAATCAGAGGGAAAAGCAGGCTCCCCGCTGAGCAGAGAGCCTGACATGGGGCTCAATCTCAGGACACTGAAATCATGACCTGAGCCAAAGGTAGACGCTTGACCAAACTGAGCCACAGAAGTGCCCCAAAAAGTGATTTACTTTTAAAAGTTATAATGTTACCTTCTTGTCAACATTAAGCTTTATGGATCAAAAATTGATACTGACTTTTGTCAGCATAAACGTGTGCATCTTTAAGTTCTGCTTATTAAAACTTTAAGAAAGGGGTGCCTGGCTGGCTCAGTCCATGGAACCTGCAACTCTTGATCTTGGGGTCTGTGAGTTCAAGTTCCATGATGGGTGTAGTAAAATAAAATCTTGGGGCACTTCTGTGGTGCAGTTGGTTAAGCATCCAACATTTGGTTTCAGCTCACGTTGTGATCTCAGGGTTGGAAGATGAGCCCCATGTCAGGCTCTGCACTCAGAGCAGAGTGTGTTTAAGACCCTCTCTTGCTCTCCCAGGCCCAACCCCCTGCACTCTCTCTCAAATAATTAAATAAATCTTTAAAAAAATAAAATCTTGGGATGCCTGGGTGGCTTAGTTGGTTGGACGACTGCCTTCAGCTCAGGTCATGATCCCGGAATCCCGGGATCGAGTCCCACATCGGGCTCCCAGCTCCATGGGGAGTCTGCTTCTCCCTCTGACCTTCTCCTCGCTCATGCTCTCTCTCACTGTCTCGCTCTCAAATAAATAAATAAAATCTTTAAAAATAAAATAAAATAAAATCTTCTAAAAACTTTAAAAAAAATCAGATCATGAATAAACAATATGAAAGAAACAGCTCTCTTAAAACCTTTGATTCTGACTTCTGCGTGTTTATAATTATTTTTTACCCATCTCTTCATCTAGTCATGTATTCATTTATTCAGTTGATAAATATAATCTAGTGGGCACAATGAAATCTAAAGGGAAGGAGACACCCTGATTCGTACAAAGCATAAAAATAAAAAATTATTCTTTCCTAATTCACAGCTCTTGGTTTCATTTAGTTTAACATCCCAGATCTTCTCATGGGCAGGGATACCAAGTAATACTGGCATTCTAACTGGAAGAAATTATTCCCAAGGAATCAAAAAACAAACAAAAAAAAAAAAAAAAAGAGGAAATTGTAGCTAAGTATCTTCTACCATTTTCTCCCTATTCTTTTTCAAAAAAGACGGATTCTCAATTTGACATGTCACTCTCCGGCTACTCTTCCACTGATTTGGGGGGGTCCACAAACATACCCTATAGAGAATATACACTATCCAGTGTATATTCCATACTCCTCTTCACTAAAGTCTGAGAGACGATAATTTCAGGGTGCCTGGATGCCTCAGTTGGTTAAGCACCTCTTGTTTCAGCTCAGGACATGAGATGGAGCCCCGCATTGGACTCTGGGCTCCATGCAGACTTGTGCAGAGTCGACTTGAGATCCTCTCTCGCTCTCTCTCTCTGCCCCTCCCTGTGCTTGCACACGTGTGCTCACATGCATACTCTCTCTCTCTCTCTCAAATAAACAAATAAAACCTTTAAATAACAACCACAACAATTTATTTCAGGACCTAAAGAGACAAGGCACCTGCCAGGTCAAAAAACAGTCTGGAAAAATACCTAAATCTCCACAAAATGATAAATTAAAAAATGGAAGCCTTTATATCTACTTCTTCAGAGAAAAGAACTACACACTCAGGCTTGTTCCATTTAAATGACTGTATGGCATCCACATACACTGTTGATGGGAAATGGTTACATCTTCTAGAAGGCATCTAGCATTATATATCCTTAAAAATGTGCATATTCTCTGATCAAGTAATTCCATTTCTGACATTCTACCCTAAGGAAATAACCAGAAACACAAAAATTTATGAACAGAAATGTTTATTGCACCTTTTTTTTCCCCCAAAGATTTTATTTACTTACCTGACAGAGATCACAAGTAGGCAGAGAAGCAGGCAGAAAGTGAGGAGGAAGCAGGCTCCCTGCCAAGCAGAGAGTCTGATGCGGGGCTTATTTCCAGGACCCTGGGACCACGCGGAAGGCAGAGGCCCCAACCCACTGAGCCACCCTGGCGCCCCTTGCACCTTTCTTTTTGGTGGTTAAAAACAGTACTTTAAAACTGGAAAGAAGGGGTACCTGGGTGGCTCAGTCATTAATCGTCTGCCTTTGGCTCAGGTCATGATCCCAAGGTCCTGGGATCAAGCCCCCCCGTCAGTATCCCTGCTCAGCAGAGAGCCTGCTTCTCCCTCTCCCCCTGCTTGTATCCCCTCTCTCACTGTGTTTCTCTCTGTCAAGTAAAATCTTTAAGATAGATAGATAGATAGATAGATAAAACTGGAAAGAATGTATGTGTCTGAAAGGGGTAGGGCTTAACAAAATTGTATTATCCTATAATAAGATTATTATATAGGGGCGCCTGGGTGGCTCAGTGGGTTCAAGCCTCTGCTTTCGGCTCAGGTCATGATCTGAGAGTCCTAGGATCGAGCCCCGAGTCGGGATCTCTGCTCGGCAGGGAGCCTGCTTCTCCCTCCCTCTCTGCCTGCCTCTCTGCCTACTTGTGATCTCTGCCTCTGTCAAATAAATAAATAAAATCCTCAAAATTGACTTAAAAAAATTATACAACCATTAAAATTAAAATTTCAAAGACTATTTTGCAACTATGGAAAATGTTCATAATATAATCTTAATTAAACTAAACAGGACCAAAACTAACCTTAATTTTGTTTTAAAAATTATACAATTTATACTTTCACAGAGAAAAAAGATAAGAATTATATCAAAAGTTCAACAGTTTATCTCTGAAAAAATTATGAGTTAATTTTACTCTTTTATTTTCTGTAATACTTTGTATTACTTTTATTTTTTACAACCTTATTTAAAGTATTTATATTCTGGGGGGCGCCTGGGTGGTTCAGTGGGTTAAAACCTCTGCCTTCCACTCAGGTCATGATCCCAGGGTCCTGAGATCGAGCCCCACATCAGGCTCTCTGCTCAGCAGGGAGTCTGCTTCCCTTCTTCTCTGCCTACTTGTGATCTCTGTCAAATAAATAAATAAAATCATAAAAAAAAAAATGTATATCCTGGGACACCTGGGTGGCTCAGTTGGTTAACCATCTTGCCTTCGGCTCAGGTCATGCTCCCAGGGTCATGGAATCGAGTCCCATGTCTGGGTCCCTAGAACCTGCTTCTCTCTCCTCTGCTCATGCTCTCTCTCTCAAATAAATAAAATATTTTTAAAAAAGATATGAATATAAAAGTGTTGAAAAACTGTTTATTATAAAAGATTGGAAAAAATATCCAACAACACAAAAATGGTTAAATTATAGTAAATACAGGATAGACTATTATTTAGCAATTATAAATATTCATAAAATAAACTTTTTGTACTGAAATTAAACAAACATAATTAAGGGGCGCCTGGGTGGCTCAGTGGGTTAAAGCCTCTGCCTTCGGCTTGGGTCATAATCCCAGGGTCCTGGTATCGAACCCCACGTCGGGCTCTCTGCTTAGCAGGGAGCCTGCTTCCTCCTCTCTCTCTCTGCCTGACTCTCTGCCTACTTGGGATCTCTGTCTGTCAAATAAATAAATAAAATCTTTAAAAAAAAATAAACATAATTAAGATCATATTGAGGAACATCGAGAAGTGCCATATGCCAAAATGTCAACAGTGTTTATTTATGCATAATATAAATCTTGATGTGAGCTGTCCAAAATTTTCTACGATAAAAATTTTTTTCTGATTATAACAGTATTTTAAGTATAAAAGATAAATTATGAAAAAAATCATTCACCCTATAAATAATAATCAGCATAAAATTATAATGGTAAAAACATCTGATTTATAGTAACACTTGAACACATATACACTATCTCTATCCCTCTCTTTTTCTCCCTGTAAGTTACTAGTATTACAAAAAGATAATTTATCCTTGGTGTCTTCTGTGTTTTCAATACTTGAATATATTTTTTTAGCCTAGGAATAAACTACATAAGACACATAGATAAAATAACTTTAAAACTTTGTTGAAAGACATAATAAGGAGCACCTGAGTGGCTTTAGTAGGCTGAGTGTCAGACTCTTGTTTTCAGCTCAGGTCATGATCCTCAGCCCCTCCCCAGCTCATTCTCTCTCTCAAATAAATAAATCTTTAAAAAAAAATTTTTTATCATTGGATTTAGATTTAAAATTTTGACAAAGTGCAATGGCACTGGGGTATCTGAGGAAGAGGGTCAGAGACTTTTTCTTGAATTGCTTTTATAATAAAAAAAAGAAATAGGAGGTGTCTGGCTGGCTCAGTCAGTAGAGCATGCAACCCCCCTTCTTTTTTAAGTAATCACTACATTCTACATGGGACTCAAACTCACAACCCTAAGATACAGAATCTCACCCACCATCTACTGAACCAGTCAGGCATCCCTGAGCATGCGACTCTTGATCTCAGGGTTGTGAGTGTAGAGATTACTTAAAAATAAAATAAGGGTCACCTTGGTGGCTCAGTGGGCTAAGTGTCTGCCTTAACTCAAGTTATGATTCCAAGGATTTTGGGATCCAGCCCAGCGAAGGGTTCCCTGCTCAGTAGAGACTCTGCTTCTCTCTCTCCCTTTGCCTCTTCCCACACCTCATGCTCTCTCTCACTTGTTCTCTCTCTCTCAAATAAAATCTTAAAAAAAAAAAAAAATTAAAAGTACACAAAAGTCCATGTAAAAAGAATAAAAATGCAAAAAATATAGTCAAACAACTTTCAGAAAAAACAGTGTGACAGAAAGCTTGACCTATGATAGTAAACTTTAGGAGTATAATAAGTAAAACCATGCTTATATTGGTCTAGATGGGCTAGATCAATAGCCTAGAGTGTCAGAAGAGACATGCCTACCGTATGGGAATTTAGTGTAATATAAAGGTATTATCTCAAATGAGTAGGAAAAAAATGTAGTAGTTAGTAAATGTTGCCCAGATAGCTGTTTGAAAGCAAATTATTTGATCTATAATACTATATATTATATATGATATATAATTGAATAAAGCATATATAGTATATGAAAATCATTATGAAAAATAATGAAAACATAGCAGTAAGAGTAATTTTACAGTAAAGTAATTTTACAGTAAGACACTGTAAATTTGAGTAAGAAACTACAAAAAACGCTGGTAACACATACTTAATATTTTTTAATAACAACTCTTATAAATTAGTAAGAGATAAACATGTTGGTAAAAAATTGGGTAAAGTATATGAGGGCGCCTGGATGGCTCAGTAGGTTGAGCAACTGACTCCTGGTTTTGGCTCAGGTCATGATCTCAGGGTGGTGAGAGGCCTCTGGGATTCTGTCTCTCCCTCTCCCTCTGCCCTTCTCCCCCAACTTGTGTGTACTCGCTCTTGTGCACACTCTTCTCTAAAACAAATCTAAAAATCTTTTTAAAAAACTGAGTAAAGTGTATGAGAAGAAAAAAAATTTGTAAATACCTCTTGGCAATAAACATGAAAATACGCTGAAGCTCATCAGTAATAAGAGAAACACCACAAAAACACGAACATGATTAGAATCCAAACAACAAATCAATATTGATAAGACTCGTGAAAAAGGCTGTTGATGGGAGTGTAAATCTGAACTAAGTTTTTAGATGGCTACTTGGCAATATTTGCCAAAATTTAAATGTGTGAACTCTTTGACCCTACAAATCTGTTTATAGCAATTTATCCTGAAGAAATGATTGGTCAAATAGACAAAAATATGTAAAACAATACTCACTGAAGCCTTTATAATAACACAAAAAAATAGCATGAACTTCATTTTTTCTGCTTGCTATATCCATAAAAAGAATATCCTGCTGCCATTAGAAAAAGTGAGGAAAGGGGTGCCTGGCCAGCTTAGTTGCTAGAGCACGCAGCCCTTGATCTTAGGGTTGGGTGTAGAGCTTACTTTAAAAAAAAAAAAAAAAAAAGTGAGAGAGAGAAGAAATGAGTAATAGCTATATGTACTGACATAGAAGGATGACAAAGACACAACTGTTAAGTAAAAAATGGCAAGTTATAATCACTGGCCATACTACTATGCCATATTTGTAAAGAAAAAAAAATCATCTATCATCCTTATCAGTAAAAAGAACTGAATCACAGCTAAATGCCATAATAGTGACTTTAGTAATATAACGAGTGACCAATGAACTACCAGAAAACAACACACAATAATAATACCTCCTTTGTATACTCTGTTATAAAGCTCTAATAGCACTTCTAAAAATCTACTTCCACAGCAATGCCAAGTTAGATCCTAGAACAAAGCATGCACAGACTCATAGATCAATGATTTTCAAACTGCAAGTTGGCACTCAATGGGTCCTCAATTGATTTAGTAGCTTACAACTAACTTTTTAAAAATATGAATACTGAAAAATCAAAGTGACTGCACATAGTAAGGGGTAAAGCTTGTTTTGTGAAGCTTTATTGTTTTGTGTAAACATCTACACACCTTCATCCTGGGACTCTGAAATCTAAACAGCTCTGAAAACCCGAAGTTTCTTCTGAAGCTTAGTGCAAGAATTTATGGAGCAGGGGTGCCTGGGTGGCTCAGTGGATTAAGCCTCTGCCTTCGGCTCAGGTCATGATCTCAGGGTCCTGAGATCGAGCCCCACATAAGGCTCTCTGCTCAGCAGGGAGCCTGCCTCCCCCTCTCTCTGCCTGCCTCTCTGCCTATTTGTGATCTCTCTCTCTCTCTCTGTCAAATAAATAAATAAAATCTTAAAAAAAAAAAAAATTCATGGAGCAGCAAGATCTGACCTGAAATACCATAGGCTATTCATAGCCTTTATTCTTCTCCACTCATTATGAATAATACGTTTCATTGCAAAAATATTTATGTGTTTGATTATAAAGTGGTATATATACTATATTATCTTTTAAAGTTCACAAGATTACAAAAGACCTCTGGACTTCTGGGAGTTTGGGATAAGAGTGTAAGAACTTATCTATATATAGACCTCCACATGTATGTGTATAGGTTAGTGTACACATACTTTTGTGTATGAAGTCAACATGTAAACATGTAAAACCTATTTCCAACTAGACTGAGACAAAAAGTCTGAAAGTCATTGGCTAGGTGACATTTTTCAGACACTGGACATACCTCGGCCTTCATTAATTCTTATTCTACAACTCCAGGAAAGGGGCAACACTCCTTTATGACTCAGAATGTTCCTGTGCATTTCCTTTTTAATTCCTCCCACTTCACTTTTTTTTTTTTTTTTTAAGATTTTTTTTTATTTATTTATTTGACAGAGATCACAAGTAGGCAGAGAAGCAGGCAGAGAGAGATAAGATAGGAGGAGGAAGCAGACTCTCTGCTGAGCAGAGAGCCCGATGCGGGGCTCGATCCCAGGACCCCTGGGATCATGACCTGAGCCGAAGGCAGAGGCTTTAACCCACTGAGCCACCCAGGCGCCCATCCCACTTCACTTTTAAGACCATTTTGTATTCTGGGGAAGCACATATTAGTCATCATTTACAGGTGACCTTTACACTGAACATAATGTCTGAAGTTTACATCATTCCTAAGTCTCCCAAAGAATAAAGTATCCTGACCAGTGAGGGAGACTTGAGGGGCCTTCTCACAGCCTTACCTTCAGCAGGTTGAGAACTTTCTTGCCAAGATCCAGCTCAAAGTTGGTATAATTAGAACCACACATGTCATAGATAAACACCAGTCCGTTCCTCTGAGTTTCAAAGCTGTAAACCAACCATTGAACAAAAACATTTATAAGTAATAAGATGGATGAGAGAGGTTGAAAGCCTAGGGCACAAAAACAGAGTTATGGGACCAAAATAACTCTCTCCCTGAACACTGGTCTTACAAAAATATGATTCATCTTTGGTATCTGCTATACTTCTTATGATACTGTGATTTTACAATTAAAAAATATATATTTAGTCTTCAACCTGATTGGTGGCACTGAGCTCCTTTAAAACTCTTGGAATTTCCTAAGTGCAGAAAGAGTCAAAGGTGTCTTTTGTGATGTTAATGAGACAACAACTGGAATGCCCCTGGGTCCCAGAAAGAAGAGGGTGGTTGCCAGGGGAACCAACCTTGTGATTACAGAGGGTTGGTACTTTCACCCCACACGGCCTACCCTCCCCCACCTCCAGGAAAGAGAAAGGAACTAGAGATTGAGTTCAGTCTCAAATGGCCAATGATTTAGTCACTCATGCTCATGTAATGAAGCATCCATAAAAACCCAACAGGATAGGGTTTGGAGCTCTCAGATGGAGGTAGTGAAAGAGGGCCCTCTCAGAAAAGGCATGGAAGCTCTAGGGCTCTTTCACCATACCTTTTCTTATGTATCCCTTCCATCTAGCTATTTTGAGTTATGTTCTTTTATAATAAATTGGTAACCTAGTAAGTAAAATGTTTCTCTGAGTTCTGTGAGCCACTGTAGTAAATTTCACTGTACCCAAGTCGGGAAACTTCAATCTATATAGCCCATTGATAAAAAGCACAGGTGACAAACTGAACTCACTACTGGCATCGTGTGTGGGAGTTGGGGTTGGACGGGACTAGTCTTATAGGATTGAAAACCTTTAACCTGTGGGATCTATCAGGCAGTGTCAGAATTGAGCTGGAGTGTAAAACAGAGTTGGTGTCAGAGAACTGACTAGAGGTGTGGCCAAAAAAACCCACATGCAGGAACTGGAATTATGCTTCCTGATGCGTACTTATCAAGTGCCAAACTCCTAGATTGAGAATATTCCAGAACATCTAGGTTATCAAAATTTGAACTGTTTCCTCCCAGGTTTCTGAATCTGCCTATCCAAACTTCCTAACATTTCATCTTCAATTCAAAAGCTTCCTCTTCCATGAAGACCTCCCTGATAACCATGATCAAAATGTACTGCTATCCTTAAGTCCCTTGTAGCCCCATAAATCTTCCTGTGGGATTTCCTTCTGGTTCTTAAAGCATTTCAACTTTGTTTTGTTTTTGTTGTTTTAAATATTTTATTTAATTAATTTATTAATTAATTTACTTATTTGAGAGAGAGACAGAGACAGAAAGAACACAAGTGCAGGGAGGGGCAAAGGGAGAGGGAGATCATGATCTGACCCAAGTCAGACACTTAACCCACCGAGCCCCCCAGGTGCCCCAAAGCACTTCAACTCTGTATAGCCATCTGATTCTCTCCTGGAAACAAAAATGTGTTTTGTTCATCTCATTACTCCCAACAGTCCCTAGCACAATCCTTACAAATAGGTTCATGATAAATGGTTACTGAATAGAATTCAGTCGGCCTGGAAGCCCACTGCTAAGAAAATACTTCAGACCTGTGGCAAACTATGAAACAAATTCTAAGCTCAATGATGGTGAATGTAACTCTTAGGACTTGGAAGGAGAGAAACCCATACATGGTCTTAGGAAAGCATCTAGAGGGAGCCTGGCTGGCTCAGTCAGTTAATCGTCTGTCTTAGGCTCAGGTCCTGATCCCGGGGTCCTGGGATAGAATCCCGTATCAGGCTCCCTACTCAAAATGGGGGAGGGGGGGCTGCCTTTCTCTCTGCCTGCCTCTCACTCTGTCTGCTGCTCCCCCTGCTTGTGCTCTCTCTTTTCTCTGTCAAATAAATGAATAAAATCTTTAAGAAAAAAAAAAGTATTCCTCAGTTGAATCTCCTTACTGCCTAAAGGCTTCGCAAAGTTGTACTCTTCCACCAAGACAGATCCTTACCTATTTCAATCTACATGCCTAAAAGATCATTAGGAATAAATTTTGCATTTGGATTACTCACAGATGATAGCAATAGCTTTCCTACCTACTTAAAATTAGAAAATTTTTTGGCACAAAAGAATCCTGAAATCAGAGATCGCAATGTTATTTTGTATCTTAAATTTTTGGCATGGTGGAAGTACCCACCCATGAAGTAGCAATTTAAAAATCTCTAATTCTGGGATACACGCAAGTTTTCCAGCAGTTTCTGAGTTTCGGACGGTCTCGACAGGTTATAGTTAATACTAAATCTTGACTCCTTTTTTCATGATTCCAGAGAGACTATGATTCACCAAGATCAAAGATGATGTTACAAGAGTAGCACAATTACTGAGTAGACTATCCAGGTCTAGAGGCTTCTCATTACTCCACAAGGTCATCAAGGGCCAAATTCAAAGAACTATAGATTTTCCCCTCACAGCACCAGCCTATGGCAGAGGACTGAAACAAAGAGAAGTCAGTGCCAAGGGAAACAGAATTTAATAAAAAGAGGCTACAGTTAGTAATGATGCAGATTCTATATTCCTAAAAATTGCTCATCCTGTAAAGGCACATGAAATAAATACAAATGTGGTAGGATCTTTGTTTTTCTGGGTACAGAATATTAGGTTTACAATGACAGCTAATTCCTTACCAAGAATAATTGTTTTCCTACTGAGTTTGATTTCCTGAGCTAGATGCTACCTGGGAACACCAAGATGTTTAAACCACAGTCCCTGACATTTGTTTCAAAATAATTGAGAGTAGGGGATGGTGAAAGGCTATCAATGAAACAAGATTCGTTATAGATCAGTCTGAAGACAGATGATGTGTGGAAGTTTATGATACCATTTCCATGCCACCCACAGAGATCTGAGGATTTTCTATTATATAATATGAAAAAGAAGGTTCCCTGCCCTTAAAAAGCTTACAATCTAGTGGTAAACATAGAAAACAATAGTATAAGATAAATTACATCATAAACCTGTGTAAAATTCAATACAAAATAATTGGTATTATTAATAACCAATAACCAGGTTAGGGCACCTGGGTGGCTTAGTCAGTTAAGCATCTGCCTTTGACTCAGGTCATGATCTCAGGGGTCTAAGACGGAGCCCTGTGTTGGGCTCCCTGCTCAGCAGGGAGTGTGCTTCTCCCTTTGCCCCTTCCCAGCTACTCATGTTCTCAGTGAAAGTTAACATAGGAAAAAAAGAATTTCTACTCACTAGTGAGAATATTTTGCTTGGAGAAAATGTTTCACGTTTATTTATCTTATACGCACCTTCTGAATAATGAGGAGTCACTAAGGGTTTTTAAGAAAAGGGGTGGACATCATGAAAACAGTTTTAAGGGGCGCCTGGGTGGCTCAGTGGGTTAAGCCGCTGCCTTCGGCTCAGGTCATGATCTCAGGGTCCTGGGATCGAGTCCCGCATCGGGCTCTCTGCTCAGCGGGGAGCCTGCTTCCCTCCCTCTCTCTCTCTCTCTCTCTCTCTCTGCCTGCCTCTCTGTCTACTTGTGATCTCTCTCTGTCAAATAAATAAATAAAATATTTTAAAAAAAAAAAAAAGAAAGAAAACAGTTTTAAGTATGTTTACCTGTGCGGTCTTCCTGTGGGATCACACGGATTAGAAAGAGCAAACTTTGGCCACTGCCATGCCTATAGGAGTGCTTTGACTGTAAGCTGCCCATGAAGGAAGGCCAGTGAATTTTCTGATAAAGGAGACTTTCATTTATTTCTCCTGAGCTAAAGCATTTCAAAGGAACCAATGTTCTGGAAATTACACCTGAAGACCAGTCACAGGAAAGAATTGAGAAATTTCACACTTCTGATTGGGCAGTACAGTGACTCTGAAACCACTGGTCCTCTCTCCTTACCTTAGTAAACTTCTCTTTTTCAGAATAGTGCTATGTGTGGTTAGCACAAAAGCAGAAAGTAAATACTATGGAAGTAACATTAACAAGGCAGTAACAAGTGAATCAGACAGAGAGGCCCACTATAGACAACCATTTGGCTGTCCGCATCCTCTAAGTCCACGGTGTGACTGAAGTTGTGCATAGATGTCTCTCACTATCTTAGGTTTCAGCCCTCAATACATCACTTCTAGCCCAGAGGATTAGCCAATGACATCGAGCACAACAACAAACTGCAAATGGCATTCTCCAGGGAAAAAAAGAAGTACAGCAAAAGGACAACATGGTAGGGTACAATTAGCTCTGGCCAAGAGCAAAGAAACTAGGATCCTAGCCCTAACCCAATTGCGATGAGATGCGATGACTGTAAACGAGTCACGTAACTTCTTGGGGCTTCGGTTTCTTTGCCTAAAATAGTCAAATACCAATTACCTTGGAAAGGGAAGGAGAAATGACCCGAGCTGATTCTTTTTGTTCCTGAACCTGTTCATAAAGATGATTTTGCTTAACTTTGTACTTTTGGACTCTTCTCTCCTGAATGCTGATTCTCAAAATCCTGAGCTAAATGGCATTATTCCTGTTTTACAAAGAAAGTGAGGCCCCAGATTGTTTTGAAAATCAATAATAAAAAAAAAAAAAAAGAAAGAAAAGAAAATCAATATTCAGAGCAAATAAGCAGCAGGTCAACACAAGTCATTTCCCCTTCACATTCTCTCAATAAGTAATTCTCACAATGAGGATAACTAGTTAGTTGGCTTTCTCAGCTTTTATAATCCTAAAATAGAGCCAAGCAGGTAAAAATACAAAGAATACCCTCGATCTGGATAGTACCTGGAAACATGCCAAGCCCTTAAGGACATGGAATGTTTTCCATTTACAGCACTTCCCAGGGCACATTCTAGGAGCACAGTGAAGGTACTATTGAGTTAATCAACTTAGTCAAGGACTATCACTGCCCCATCTGGATACAGATCAACTAAAAGATAATCTTCATGCTCACCTATCCACAGCTCTGTCTAGCAAGTAAAACAGAGCCTGAAGTACCACATGTTGGACTGACTTGTGGGGGTGATGCAATCTGGCAGTGAAGAGGGCAATGGAGGCTCCTGTTGGGTCCCGAACATTCTAGAAGCAAATAAAATGAGAAATATTTAGAAACGAAATAGAAAATCACCACAATTACTTAGGCTTCTTATATCCTAGTCAAAAATTTCATTTGAAGAGAAGAGATGCTGGCAATACTTCTCTGCCTTGCATCAGTTACTCCAGGAAGAGAAGAATATTTATTTCATCCCATGCCTGATTCTTAGCAGCCCCTGGATCTTATTTGTGTGATAGGGAAAAACTATATTCCCTTAATTTGTCAATGGCAGAGAGATTAAAGGATGGTCTACACTGGCTGCCTAGCTAATTTCCCCAATAGGATAGCAAAAGAAACACACATCAGGGGAAAACCACAGAATACAACCATGGTTTCCATGCTCTGCCTTAAAAGTACCATTGTATACTTATTCAAAAGGCTGTGATCTCTAGGTGGAGAGAGCTAGAATCCAGTAAGGACAGGCCTCTGAACCACTGTGTACCCACCCAAAGACCTCAACTAACTGTAATGGACCAATGAAGAAACTCTGCTTGACCTACTATACAAATGATTCTCAATAATTTCACTAGAATTATTTTGTGCAAACTGCACAACTGCTTCATGTTTGCTCCTGAATGTTGAGACTTTCAGACTCAGGAAAAGGTATCTAGGAACAAAATCCAAAGAGGAAAACAGCTACAAAAGGAAGTAATGAGACACTACAAAAAGGGTTCATAAAGACTCACTAGGATGGTGAATTTCCCACTAAGGATCTCAGAACGGAGAGGTTCCTCATGAGGTTTCAGCTTCACAATGCCTTCCTTCCTTCGTGTTTCCTAAGAATAAAGCACAGCAAGATAAATTAATATGAAAATACTGTATATCCAGGAGAGCTTTATGTAAACATCAAAACTCAGAGATAAGGGACTTTAAGAAGTCAACTAATTGACTCACAAATTCCTTTGTAACACCCTTTAGGCCAACACCCTTTACCTGAATTTTCCTCCTATGCTACCTTATCAGCCTCTTATGTATGATATTTTCCTTTAAATTAGTGCCAATCCTGGGGCGCCTGGGTGGCTCAGTGAGTTAAGCCTCTGCCTTCGGCTCAGGTCATGATCCCAGAGTCCTGGGATCAAGCCCCACATGGGGCTCTCTGCTCAGCAGGGAGCCTGCTTCCTGCCCCCCCACCCCACCTGCCTATCTGACTACTGTGATCTCTGTCAAATAAATAAAGAAAATCTTTTTTTTTAATAAATAAATAAATAGATAGATAAATAAATTAGTGCCGATCCTAACCCCAAAGACCAACTAAAATGTATTGTTAGAGTGCAGGGTAAAAGTTCTTAAACATACATCAGCAGTGATAATGCAGCAAGATATTAAATATGTACCCCAAAAATGTCTGGAAACAGACATCCTCAAACATCCTCGCCATCAGTCCCCTCGACAGGTTCTCCAACAAGACCTACCATGACCTCATTTTTCTTATCTCCACAGCAAGATTCTTTAAGCTCATCCTCAGTTTCCTTATACTCAGTCTGCTACATTCTCATTGTCCCCATTCTAACTACTGCACCGAGAGCGGCCGCTCCATGGCCAGGACCTTTCTTCCTGTCAGTGAACCTAGAGGGCATTTCAGCTGTCCTTTTACATGACAAGGTTGACCACTCACCTTCCCTTTCCCCTGAGACAGTCTCTATCAGAGACAGAAAACACTCAGTTCTCCTATTTCTTCAACTACTGCTGCTAAGTCTTTTTTTTTTTTTTAAGAGAGAGTGACGTGGGAGGGACAGGGAGTGACACAGGGCCTGAGATCATGACCTGAGTTGGACACTTAACCCACTGAGCCACCTAGGTGGCTACCCACCCTTGTGGGGGTTTATTTGCACTTGCATTCAATTACTCACTCAGTTCATTCACTGGCTCAATCATTTATTCTGCAAATATCTGTAGAATTATTATGTGCCAAGCACTGAGCTAAGTGCAAGGAACATACTGGTGAATGGAACACACTAGGTCTTTGTTTATATTCTTGCCCAATCCATCCCTAAAATCAAATTCAAATGCCTTCAGAGGCAGGGCAGCAAGTGAAGACAGTATTTGTACTAGGATTACAGGAGAGTACATGCCCTACCTAAAGCACTCAAGTTCAACTTTTAAGATAATACTGAACCAAAGATAGCAAAAAGTCTGAGGTGACATTCAGCCCTACATATCTTCTCCTCACACTTTCCTAGAATGACCTCACCTTTTCTCATGGCTCTAATATTCGGCTCTACTTTGGTCACTCAAAATCTCTACTTCTGGTCCAGATTTCTTTTCTGAATCCCATTCCAACTTCTTGGAGAACATGTCTATTTGGGTATACCAATGACACTTCAGATTTAACATGACTAAACCGAACTCATGACCCTGCCTCCCCACACACCTGCACTATTTCAGTGCCCACTAAAATTAGTGAATGCTACTACCATTTATCCTGCCACCCAAGTTAAAGACCTCGGACACCTGACTCTTTCCTTATACATCAGTTTAAGCAATCCTGTTTTACCGATTTCATTTCTAGGATCTGCCCATTTTTTCCTCTATCTCCGCTGACACTAAATGACACCAAAATCATTTTGCTCCCTGTAAATACAATGGCCTTCTATTGGTCTGTTTCCAGTACAGCCCCTTCTGATCCATTCTCTAAAGCACATTGAGAAAATAGTTCCAGAATGCAAATCTGATCAACTTATTCTGCTGTATTTAACCTTCATTGAATTTCTCTGTCCTTAAAAACAAAACAAAACAGGGTGCCTGGGTGGCTCAGTGGGTTGAGGCCTCTGCCTTCGGCTCAGGTCATGATCTCAGGGTCCTGGGATCGAGCCCCGCATCGGGCTCTCTGCTCAAGCAGGGAGCCTGCTTCCTCCTCTCTCTCTGCCTGCCTCTCTGCCTATTTGTGATCTCTCTCTGTCAAATAACTAACTAACTAAATAAATAAACAAACAAACAAACAAATAAATAAACCAGATACTCTATGATCTGGCCTTGTTTACTTTCATTGCTCAATCTCTTGACATGTCCCCTCTCCCAATGAGCATTTCTGCTCAGCTCAATTTCTCTACTGTCAACTAGGAATCTAACTTGCTATTCTCTCTGTCATATTCCCCTATCTGTCCAATTCTTACTCCATTCTTCAGATCTTAATTTAGAAATAAATTCCTTCAAGATGGCTTCTTTGACCCTTCTAAGTAAATGTGCACGTAAATGTGCATCCGCACAACCAAGTAGTGCCCTATCATAACTTTCTATAACTGTCTGTCTACTTTTTCTTTCTAAATAATAATCTCTGGGGGCACCTGGGTGGCTCAGTGGGTTAAAGCCTCTGCCTTCGGCTCAGGTCATGATCTCAGGGTCCTGGGATCGAGCCCCTCATTGGGCTCTCTGCTCAGCGGGGAGCCTGCTTCCTCTCTCTCTCTCTCTGCCTGCCTCTCTGCCTACTTGTGATCTGTGTCTGTCAAATAAATAAATAAATAAATAATCTTAATTTCAAAAAAAATCTCTGCACCTGGAACATAGTATATAATAAACATCTGTTGAAAAAATGAGTTAATATTGTAGGAGATGACCCACAAGATAGGCATAAGTGAGCTTTTAGTATTGAACTAATCCTGGCATACCTTATCCTCCTTTTTCAATTTAGATAGATTCTATAGCTCTTTAGGATTTTCTGACTTCAAGGTAGGGCACCTAGATACTGATCTGCTTTTTTTTATGAGAGTGGGGAGAAGACTCAGAGAACCACTTCGGGGAGTGTGTGGCACAGAAAACAGCAACAGAGAGCCCAACTGCCACAGGGCCGGTACCTCCCCCCAAGCTACGTACTCTGTAGGAGTGGAACAACTCTATGGCGCGTAGCACATCAAACTTCCGGGCCATGAGGAACTTGACAGCCACATTCCAAGAGAGGGGGGAAACATTGTACTGAACTGTCCACTTGTTAATCTCTTCAAGAAACTGCTTGGTTGCCTGTTTGACAAAGAAAATAAAGAAAATTTAGTTATTAGGGAACATATTTATGGAAACAAAAAACAAGCAAGAAAAAAATATCATCCCTTCCTCAAGCAAGTCTGAACCCAATGTTTCCTACAGGGAGCAAGGAAAGATAAAAGCTGGAAAACAGGTCTGAAAGCAGAAATAGTTAAAATTCATACTATGCAATGAAGCCAGAAGCCAGAGCCAGGTTCAGACAGCAGGGCTTAGCACAGGGATGCATGAAGAAAAAATGAGGGGGGAGACCAAGGCACCCAAATGGAATGCAAATTACTGGCCCCAAAGCAAAAAACCCTGCAGTTTTTTTTTTTTTTGTTGTTTTTTTTTTTTTTTTTTTTGAAGATAAAAGAAGGTGGATGGGCCCCTAGAAGGGATATTGCATAAGGTGCATGATAGTACAGCAACCGCAGCTGCTGTTTTGGGTCCCAACAAGCCAACTTGATACAGAAAAACCATCAGAGGGGTGCCTGGGTGGCTCAGTGGGTTAAAGCCTCTGCCTTCAGCTCAGGTCATGATCCCAGGGTTCTGGGATCAAGCCCCGCATCGGGCTCTCTGCTCAGCAGGGAGCCTGCTTCCCCCTCTCTCTCTGCCTGCCTCTCTGCCTACTTGTGATCTCTGTCAAATAAATAAATAAAATCTTTAAAAAAAAAAAAAAAAAAAAAAAGAAAAACCATCAGAAAATGGTTTTGGCTTTGGAATTAGCAATACTATTTGAGAGCAGCGAAGCTATTAAGAAGAATTTAACAAATCAAAAGGCTAACTGTTCTTTGCGCTGACTGACCCCACAGGACCTCTTCATGTTTCACGCGGCAGCCCAAAAACCAGACACTAGTGCCCAGAGTCACTAATAGCCCCTCTGGATAGTGATTGCTGGGGGAGGGGTGGAGGACCTCATATTGGTGGGGATCCCAAGCTGGCAAGATGCCTGTTTTCAGAATTGTCCCTATCTCTTGATTAACCCATGTCCTTCTATCCCCTTTCAACTATTTCTCTTTACATTTATAACCAGTTTCTGCTCTAGCCAAACTACTCTTCTGTTTCTTCAGTTTTTGAATAGGATCTACATCAGGATTTTTTTTTTTAAGACTTTTTATTTTTTTAAGTAATCTTTACACCCAATGTGGAGCTCGAACTCATAACCCCGGGACCAAAAGTTACACACTTCATGGACTGAGCCAGCCAAGCACCACTACATTGGGATTTTTTTTTTTAAGATTTTTTATTTATTTATTTGACAGAGATCACAAGTAGGCAGAGATGCAGGCAGAGAGAGAGGAAGGGAAGCAGGCTCCCTGCCAAGCAGAGAGCCCGATGCAGGGCTCGATCCCAGGACCCTGGGATCATGACCTGAGCCGAAGGCAGAGGCTTTAACCCACTAAGCTACCCAGGCGCCCATACATTGGGATTTTTTGCATGTATATTCTCAATCGCTAAACACTTTCTCCGTGGCTACCTGGTCCCTTCCACCCAGAAACTTTTCTCACATGTTGGTCCAAAATGTGACCAACTTGATGAGAATTCTGAAACTTAACTGATCAACCAATCAACCCACAGTTAAGATGTATGTATGTATTTAAAGACTGTACTTATTTATTTGACAGAGAAAGTGAGCATAAGCAGGGGAAGTGGCAGCCTGAAGGAGAGGGAGAAGCAGGTTCCCGGCTAAACAGGAAGCCCAATGTGATGCAGGGGCTCTATCCCAGGACCCCAGGATCATGACATGAGCCAAAGGCAGATGCTTAACTAGGTGAGCCACCCAGGTGCCCCATTAAGATGTATTTTTTTTTTTTTTAAAGATTTTATTTACTTAACAGAGAGAGATCATAAGTAGGGAGAGAGGCAAACAGAGAGAGAGAGAGAGAGGGGGAAGCAGGCCCCCTGCTGAGCAGAGAGCCTGTTGCGGGACTCGATCCCAGGACTCCGGGATCATGACCTGAGCTGAAGGCAGAGGCTTAACCCACTGAGCCACCCAGGCGCCCCAAGATGTATTTATTTTATTATTTTTTTAAGATTTTATTTATTTGACAGAGAGTGAGAAAGGAGAGAGAGAGAACAAGCAGGGGGAATGGCAAGCAGAGAGAGAGAGAGAAGCAGACTCCTGCTGAGCAAGGAGCCCAATGCAGGGCTTGATCCCAGCACCCTGGGACCATGACCTGGGCTGAAGGCAGCCTCGTAACTGACTGAGCCACCCAGGTGCCCCAATTAAGATGTATTTATTAGGGGCAACTAGGTGGCTCAGTGGGTTAGGCCTCTGCCTTCGGCTCAGGTGATCTCAGGGTCCTGGGATTGAGTCCCACGTTGGGCTCTCTGCTCAGCAGAGAGCCTGCTTCCCCCTCACTCTCTGCCTGCCTCTCTGCCTACTTATGACCTCAAATAAATAAATATTTTTTTAAAAAGATGTATTTATTAAACTATTACATATTTATTAACTACTTTTTAATAACTGTGCTAAGAAATACAAGGAATGCAAAAATAAGGTTTGCTTTAAAAGGTGTGATACTGGGGCACCTGGGTGGTTCAGTCATTAAACATCTGCCTTTGGCTCAGGTCATGATCCCAGCATCCTGGGATTGAGCCACATATGGGCTCCCTGCTCAGCGGGGAGCCTGCCTCTCCCTCGCTTCTCGCTCTTTCTCTGTCATAAAAAAATAAAATCTTAAAAAAAAAAAAAAAAAGGTGTGATACCAACCTACTGTGTGGCCATGGACAAGGTGATTCTCTCTTCATGTCTAATTTTTCAATTGAAGAACAAGGGGAGGGATACCTGGGTGGCTCACTTGGTTAAGCATCTGCCTTCATCTCAGGTCCTGGAATGGAGGCCCAGGTCAGGTACCCTGCTCAGTGGGGAGTCTGCTTCTCCCTCTCCCTTTGCCACTCTCCCACCACTCATGCTCTCTCTCTCAAATGAATAAATAAAATCTTAAATAAGGAAGGAAGGGAGAGAGGGAGGAAAGAAGGGGAAAGAGAGAAAGACAAGGGGAGAGAGGGTAACAAGCAACTGACCAACTTCAGAATCTTGGCAACAGGTTCTACCCTGCAAATACAATTCAAATTGCTACATAGTATTTAAACAACTAGCAAATTAGAGTCCCAGGAATACCTCATAAGAGAGCACCTGATTTATTCCCCAATTTCTAGGAAAGAAAAAAGATACTTTATAAACCAGAGTAAAATCTAAGAGGCCTAACTGCACCTGAGCTTTAGAACCTTCCAACTGAGGCAATATAACTTATACCTCTGGAAAAGGAGAGAACCAGCAAATCTGATCAGGCAAGCACATTAAAAAAGCCAAAAAATAAAGGTCATGAAGAAAAGCTTTCAGATGATCACTTTGGCCCAGAACCAGTTTAAGTCTGACCAGAGCAATGAGTCCCAGAGAAGACAACAGGACAAACTTAGAATGCTCCACCAGAAAACAGTGTGAGTTGCCTCTATGGGGTGAGTGGACAGCATCAGAATGAGGAAAGACGGAAGGGAAAAGAAGTGGGCAGAGAAAGATCCCAGAAACAAAACTTCAGCCAGCCCAGAAGGTCCCCAAGAGATTCTATAAAGAGGTTTTTTTTTTTTTAATTAACATATCATCTTTAAATCTGGTCCTCTCCTGGGCCTGGCTGAAGCTGCCTATAGAATAAAACACCATGTAAGAGCAGAACATACTTTTCCCCCTTTCTAATAAAAATAATAAACAGACAAATCAATATGCAGTTAGGAGGGGGAAATATAGTTAAATAGCTGGGGGGTGATATGAACTCTTAACACATCCAATTACTAAGATGATTTTTCATTTTTCATAAATTAGCCATGCCTCAATAAGAGACTTGCAGATTTCACACATTTCCTTCAAAGTAGGTACATATTGTCTTCCTTCTTATTAAACTCAGCTCCTTCAAAGTTCTTAATGTTCTGTAGCTCCCAAGGGCTGTTGCCTTGAGCTGACCTCTGTCCCCTGCTGGTCAGGATGTTATTCTTGGCTTTAAGCACGGGAACAATTCCTCCTGATTTGGCCTGACTAGGCCGTGCATGAAGAGAGTCCAGTGTACTATAAACAGTGATGTGATATTTACAAATGCACATATATACACACAGCATCTGTTATGTTCAGCCTCAGATTCACCATCCTGTATCCCTAGCCCTCTTGAGGAAGAGACAAACCTCTTAAAGAAGTCAGAAAAGATGGCCTCAGCTTCAACAGCCTTTCTCTAGAAAGTTAATAAGATTGCCTCCTCTGTTTACACATGAATTCAGCACAACCACTAAGTATAGACCAATTTGTGGTCCTGTTGGTACCAGAGAAACAAGTCCCAGCAATTTTAATGAGCAACACACTCTTCATAAGGGATAATCGAAATTCCTGAAATTAATACTGTGTTATTTCCTGGTGAACAGAGTGAGCCAAAAGATGAGTCACAGCTTATAAAATACTTCAACTCAAGGTCAATGGTTTGAATCTATCTAGGTTTATGAGTTAACTGTAAGTTGTTAACACCTGGCAGCTAAGGCATAGTCATAGTTCAAACAGCTTTGGTCTTCCTTTGGGAAAAAGGTCTGAACTAAAGTACAGAAAAACTAACATTACCACTTACAACCTTCTTCAACCCACTTTTCAGGTACAGGTAAGATTTGTTTCAGCATTGGGCAACTGCGTGGCTCAGTCGGTTAAGCGTCTGCCTTCAGCTGGGGTCATGATCCTAGGGTCCTGGGATTGAGCCCCATATCCGGCTCCTGGCTTGGCGGGAGGACTGCTTCTCCCTCTCCTGCTCCCCCTGCTTGTGTTCCTTCTCTCTCTCTCTCTCTGTCAAATTAAATAAGTAAAATCTTTAAAAAATTCAAAAAAAAAAAAAAAGATTTGTTTCAGCATTGTCAAAAGCTTACTATAATTACATACTATTCCCACAATGATGTTTAAATAGATAAAAACAAGTTTTTTGACTACAGCCATAAGGATAAAAAGATACTTGAGAACATGCTATAAAATG